AAAGTTTTAAAGTTAAAATCCTTAATTTATAGAGTTTACCTTTATTTAATCTCGGTTCCCACGTTCTTAATCACTTTGTAGTTTCAAACACTATATTATAAAACACTCGGAATATTTTCAGGTAACGTCAAAATATTTCAGAACGCTGACGAAGGGCGGGCGGGACGTCCTACTCTCAAGATAGTTGAATACAGACTGAAACACGCTCACTGTATTGTAACAATTCACAAAATTTTTAATAACAATGGTCACAATTTTCATAGACTTGGCAGCGAACTGTGCTATGTGGTTTTAACATCTTTATTTTGTTTTTTTGATTGTGAATTTTAAATATTCTCTATTTGCAATCAGCTACAATGGATAAAAAATCGTATTTCCTTTACAATGCTTAGCGTTTTTTTAAAAATTATTAGTAATTTTTGAACTATTTTCTCTCTAAGTAATTTTCTTTTCTATTAACGTGTTAATTAAAGTCTTCAACGACGTGGCAATGGAATGGAAGAAATTTTCAAAGCGCCACCTTATAAATAAGTTACGCGGATTATAGTAACGTGACCTCAAAAATTAATTAGGATGATTTGTAAATTAGTCAAAGTACTTATAAGAAGATATAATACCATTGAAATCAATCTATGGAACCTTCAAAAGTCAAATATCTCTTTGAGTCTTCTATCATTGATTATAAATCTCTAAGTTTTAAATTAAATTGTTACAGATGAGTAGACAGTTAGTTGTGAATCAAAAAAAGATTTAGCAGTTAAATGAGTTTCAATCGGACTTTTTACAGCTGAGCTTTGTTCGTGATTGCAATTTAAATACATTTGTCTATAGTAAAACAATTTATACCAACCTTTGTTGAATAATAATTGTATTAAAAATATGCTATGATTTAAAACTATAATTTTCATTTAAATCGATCCCATATTTTATGCCATATAGTTTTTATGTGTTTATCATTTAATGATAAATGATACTTGAAAGATTAATTAATATTTAGAAGTCTTATTTAGAAGTACAATTATGTAGTTTAGAAGTTCTATACTTTTAGTTTTATATGGCTTTAAAAGCATACAGCTAATGGTAAGGAACTCTTTAGAGCTATATTATAAATCCTTCGTAAATCTTCCTCTATGAACTATGTCATTTCACTACCCTTTACTGTATACATATACAGGGTGACTGGTGAATTACTATCGATATTTGAGGACGTGATATTTGACGATCATATATGACAAAATAAAAATTAATATAACATAAATATTAATAAAGTTCTAAGTAAAGTTAACCAAAAGTTGTGTAATTAATTACGCATCGTGTGAACACCCTACAGATTAGGAATACACACACACTCACACATATGCGCGGGGAGGCGTGTTGTTGTATCAGCACGCCGCCGCACGCGTCCACACTTGGAACACTTGGAACGTGTACACACTTTATTTATTTATACGGAAATTTGGTCAAAAATTAAGTACCTATTTTTTTACATAATTCGAATGAGAATCATGTACCGAGTATGCTCCTTAAATATTGATAGTAATTCACCAGTCACCCTGTATAAGAGGATTTACTTTATATGTATGTATTTTAAATTAATCTCTTTATATTATAGATTAATTGAGATTAACAAGTAGGTTTTATATTTATCCATTAAACAACCACGTCAAAAGTTGTATTATCATCTTTCAATCTTATGTCATAATATAAGTAATTTTACAAAGTTTTGTAAATTAATTTATATCCAATCGTTTTGTTTATTTGTTAAATGTTTTGCATAGCGGCTCTCATTTAATAGCGTTGGTGAGTTTCAATTTATTATGTACGCGTTGCAATAAAATATATGAAAAATATTATCTTTAATCATAGTGCAAATGTTCTTTCAAAACAATATAAACTATTCAATATTGTTGAATAAATGTCTGGAAAATAAGCATTTTAAATATTCCAGAATAAATAGTGAGAACAGTGCCAGTATAATACTTTCTATTGCGGACTTCAAAAGAGTCGGAAACCGCAGCAAATATTTACACTACGCTTACAAAACGAGTTTAATTCAGGTGGTTCTGACAAAAAAATGTCACAGGTGCTTTAGTTCCCAGTCTGAGTTTAAAATATTACGATATAGCTGTCTGAGAATCTATCTGGCTAACAATTTTAAAATATTCTAAGAATAAATCGGAGATTTCAAAAATGAGGGCTAAATTTTGAATCGATATGCATACTCGTATGTACCTAATATTGCTATCAAAATGATGTTTATAATCTAGTTAAAAGTAGTATTACAAAACAATAATAATCAATAATATGTAGTGTTGTTTGTATATTTACTAGCTACTGCTTTTACACTATTTTAACTTGCAATTTAATTTCATTGAGCTGATCATGATTATGCATACCAATCTTAGCCACTAATATTTGACAATATATTATGACATGAAGTGGATTCCAATAAAATAAATTACAAATTAGATTAAATTTTTATTACATAAATTATATTTGATTGTTTAAATAAAACAAGATATAAAATACGTAAATAGGTTTATGAACCACCCATAGCAAAAGTGTTTCTACTTTTGAGACACTGGTACAATTAATTGTGAACCAATAACTCATATTATATTTGATATAAATATATTTTGTTTTGGTAAATTTTAACGGCCACATCAGTTATAATCATTGACAGTGGGACAGGACTTTAACACAATCCCCGTACTCCCTAATGGCTCGTTAATACAAAATGTTTAGAATTTTTCATATACGAGTAAAAATATTTAATTTTTGTTCTTCTACATACAAATCTGTTGACAGCATATGTTCCTATAATTTATTTCTTTTTCTACACCCTTAGTAAGAGTTTTGGTCATCGAACTAAATACTAAGAGTTTTAAAGTTTTTCAGTAGTAAATCGAAAGCAACCTTTAAGATAAAATAATGCTTTGATACCACATCGTATATATCAACATTGTTATTTTGATGATACGAACTTGATATTTAGAAGTTATTAATTACAGATTAGTATTAAAATAAAAAGAGTATATAATAAAAATACGTTAACAACGTTTTATATAGAAATATATTTTTTTAGTCATGAGAATAATACTCGTAGTAACTTTCGTCTTAAAATGATATCTTCTCTCAAAATTAGGCGATTTTGCAACTTATACCCTTAAAGTCGCTTCCCTAATGGATAATCTAATGCTTTTCCCAAATTAAGATCTGAGGCTTTTTCTACTGGCTAAGAATTGTTTAACCAACATCTTCTTTTGCTCTCTACACAGTATTTCACTTGGAACGTACCCTGGACGATGATAAAAATTTTAATTCCCTTTTTTTGGTCGAAAGATTCTAATCGTCAATCTTAATCATTTATATAACAGTGAAAACCAATTTTTGAAACCCTGCTAAAGGATATATTTTTAACCATAACGGATAGTAATTAAGTAATTATAAAACAATTTAACCTAAGTTTTAGACGGTCACACTCATGTATTTATTAATAAACTCGACATGTTCCGAAAAATTAATTAAAAATTTAATTACTTCTAAAAAAAACTGATAATATCCTGTAGCCCTGTTGTCGTGAATTTTTAAACGCCCAGTTGTTTTGATGAAACAAAATTTATGTAGTGGCTGATAACAAAACATGCAATTATTAATTTGAATCCAAAGTAAAGTTAATAGAGACAAAATCTCTCAGTATTTCATGGATTCCTGAAAGTGTCGGGTCTATCTTGACTTAATTACAAAAACTTTGAGATAGATTAATAAGAACAATTTATTAATTAATTTTGTATGAAACTATAAAGTGTCTATTTTGTATAAAATCACATAAAAATAAACAAAAAAGTGTCATTATATGCTCTATAGTTTATAAAGACGGAAATTTTCATAACTTGAATGAGCACATTGTTATACTTTTAATACATTTTTTATATCTTTAGCATTATTAAATAAGTTTAAGAATCAAATAATTTATTACCGATATAATAATTAAGGAAAAATAAATCGTATAAAATATTAATTCGTTGATATCATTACACGGGAGGCGTATTTTTTTAAGTGCATACAAAGATAAATTGACAAAAATCACATTAGATTTACGGTTAACACATAAACTGTGTCAATTTTATGCTTTTAAATAATTAACTGACTGCGACGCGGCAGAACTTTTGGTCTGAACAAAAGGCTGTTATTTCAATTCTACATATAATAATGTATTCTACAACAAAATGCTCATGTATTAAAATATAATAGAAAAATAAAATGGAGCGAACGTAAGATGAATTTCGAAATACAAATCATGTTTACAGATTTCTGTTTTAGATGCACTGCGTTTCTGTAAATGACATTTCTATTACTTCGTTTTCAAACCATCTTGAGGAATTTTCCACAATTGCTTTTATTCTAAATGTTAACCTTGATTATTTATAGAATGTGTCGCAGCTAGACCCAAATGATTCGACGTGTCCTGAAGCGAAATTGTATCTGATCTATTTATAAAGGATAGGTAATGTGCTACGTTTGCAACTGTTTTGCATGGACTTTAGATATATTACAAAGGTATGGGTGATTTAATTAGTATTTTTATTTTATTATAATCACGTTAAGATTAAATTTCTATCAAGATCAAAAAGTCTGATTCTATTTAATTCGTTTAAGTAAAATATTGAGCGTACGAGTATGTCTAGGATATTAATAATCAATTTTTTTAAAGTATCTATGTTTATGGCCATTTTTTTACGTTCTCACTTCGTTGCGTCATTTTTTCATCTCATTATCCTTTCTTTCAGGGGTCTCACATTAATTCTCACATGCTGGCTTGTAACCACAATCTGCTGTGGACTATTTATTGCTACGATGGCCGGCGTAGCCTACGGATATAATTACAGCATGGCAGAATTTATTACTTTCACAAGTTTGCATTTACAAATTTTCTATTAATACATAAAATTCCTTAAACATTTTGATGATAAACATTGTCTTTTTAATCTCTTTTTTTAATGTGGCCATGCCAAGAAAGAGGTTAAATGATTTTTAAACCTTATGGGCCCATGAAAGTGTATGTCTGTGTATGTTTGTGTATGCATGTTTAGTCCTAAATTGAAAACAATTTATTGATTCAAATAATCTGTATATGACTTACATGAATAAAGTTTATGTCCTGCAACTATCACGATTACCGTGAATTTAAATATGAAATTTCTATAAAATCAAATTATTACTTTTTATCCTATTGGTATAGCATTTATTTTTATTTAATAAGTAAATAAAGTAAATTTAAAAGTCATATGATAAACTTCGTATATAAAATAAAAAGGTGTACACATTATTTATGATCTACAACATAGGTATATGGTAATTAATAATTAATTATTTTAATAATTTCTCAGGACCCGATGTTAAAGTATACATGAGAAGAGGACAGTTTTACGATAGACCTGACTTTGAAAAACCAAAGAGGAGAGCTGGAGATGAAGATGATAGTAAGTAAATACACAGAAATATTTGAAATGTATAAAAAGCGACACATTTATATATAACTAGAAGACCTGGCGAACTTCGTATCGCCCTATAGTCAAGAAATATCTATTACGTTTTTTTATTTATATTTTTGGAGTTTACCTGTAAGCATTAAATCTCCGTGTTTTGAAGTGCGACAGAATGATTGACATATTAGTTAGTTGTCAAATCTAATGTCAAAAAAAACGTTTGTATGGGAAATAGAAAAGGGCTGTTTTTATGGTTTTCCCAGTAATGAATCAATTTTTTTCAACTTTTATACCTTCCCTGAACCTCCACGAACATTTAAAGACTAAGATAAGATAAATCCGTTCAGCTGTTCTCGAGTTTTAGCGAGACTAAGGAACAGCAATCCATTTTTATATATATAGAAGATTCTTCTACCTGGCAATTTCCCAGCTATAGCCAGGGTCTGCCTTACATGTTGTGAATAGTTTTTGGCTATTTGTTTTTACGACCGGCCGCCTGCCTGACATCAACCCTCTTTTGGGAAAAATATTTTTATATATATAGAAGATTAGTTTACATTAATTCTCTCGAATAAAGTCGAGAGCAGCCGTGTAATGTATTGTAAGCTAAACCTCTCTACTACGCTTTTCTTTTCTATTCTTTAAGTTTAATTTGCGTGAATCTTAAATATTTATAACTGTCCAAATCCATTCATTTAAGAGGAAATTCAGAAAACAGATAACCTAGTTTTTTTTCATTATGATAACCCAAAATTCCGCTAAATAATATAATGGATTGAACAAATAACTTCCATAATTGTAAAAAACTTAATGCTCAGACCCGACAAAGAGATCTCCACTTATCAAATAATAAAAATATATAATCTATAATAACAAGGTCACTACGAGTACTTTAATGATTGTCAAATTAACGATGCAAGTTATAGAGAAAAATGCCTTAAATTATTAGCTTTAAGAAAATTAGCGTAACTTTATTTAACACAACGCTCAAAACTGATCTAACTTAATAGAATGTTTGTAGGATACATGACGGCCAAAATACATTATTATCAAGATCGAATAAATAAAATTTGTAATTGTAAAAAGTATCGTAATTAAGACAATAATGTTTTTTTTTCTCTTTCAGTATTTCCTTTCAACCTTTCGGATTACCAACAAGAGGTTCCATTAGGAGATGATTCGCTTTCCGACAAATTGATTAAGGATTTGGATACGAAGAAATATGCAGAAAAGCTTACAAAATACTCACAAGGAAAAACCAATACTGATTCTAGCCATAAAACCGAATCACCTAAGGTAATTTGAAAGAGCTACGTAATAGAATTATTTTTATACATATAATCAATACAATAAATTATATTTATATATTTCTTTCGCTCATTCTTATTATTTAAATTATTTTTATTGCTCTATAGAAAACAACTTACAAACCAACACCATCTTCAAGAATATCTATAATACCGTTTCATATAATATCTACAACTGTAATGTACAGTGGTTCCTCCGAAATTATAATGAGAAAATTCGATCCTGCCCCACCAAGTATTATATCAGATGTAAATAACGATGTTTTCCGCAATGACGACTATGGTGTAGAAAGAGCAGAAGAAGAGTTTTCAAATACAATAGAAGAGGAAGATATTAAGAGAGAAAGTCCGACACCAGATATCAGGATACGAGTGGAAGATAGTCCCATAAGGTAATTGTAAATATATCAAAACAAATATTAAGTAGAAAATATTATAATCGTTTTGCCTTTGACTACAGCAGGCCGCCTGGCCTGCTGTAGTCAAGTTACTATAGCTCGAACATAGGCTGGCTAGACCGGAGAAGTACCACCCTCTCACAGATGATCGGCGTGAAGTAAACTCTAATGGCTGCGTTTCATCCGATGAGTGAGATAGACCCTTGCCCTTTCCCTGTTCCCACCATTTCATGCTATTTCTGTTTTCCTTATTCCCCTCCCTTTCCTCAACAACCAAGGTTAGCAATGCATTCGCAACATCTACATATGTTGCGAATGTCCATGGTCGACAGTCACTAAGCTGCCAACCAAGTAGGCCGTCTGTTCATTTGCCATATTTCACATAAAATATATATAAATTTATATATGTATGTATGAATCCAATTTTTTAGGCATTCCGTAATAATGCGACATTGGGAAACAACAGAGGGTCCTACACTGAGTGATGTTTCTGATGTGGATGAAGAGGCTTTAGTTTACAGAGCGATATAAAATAAGAAAATAAAAAGATATCAAAGTTAATAGCTGTATTTCAATTGGATTTTGTACTGACTTAAACTTTAAGAAGCAAAATATTATTAATGAAATCTAATATTGTCGCGTGTTTTGTTCATTTAAATTAAAATAATATTTTTCGGATATAATAAGCAACTTTATTTTTGTAAAATCTACATATTTCCAACGTTTCGCCTAATTTTCATAAATAACAAGACCAATTGACAGACATTCACATCTCGTCTGCCCGTGACCACGGTTGCTGAAAAGTATCCGAAAAGTCGGTAGTATGTAATTTTTTACAAAAAATAAAGTCGCGAAGTATAATCTGAAAACTATAAGTTTTATTTAAACAAAATATTTTTATAGCTACAATCTAAGAAACAAAATAAAGATATGCTTTAAATGTGCTCAACTAACAAGGCAAATGAAAATATTTATTCGCTTGTTGACTTGTTCATCCTTTAATAGAAGATAAATTGTATGATTATTACCATTACTTAATGAATCTGGATATTTTTTCCTTATAATATTAAAATTTTATGACTAGTAATAAATAAAAACCAATGATGAAAAAAGTTAAACCAATGTGATACCCTTCGTAAGCATACATAGTATAGATAGTTAAGAAAATTTATATCAGTAAAGATGTATTGTCAAGTTAAAATATATTTCAAATAATTATTAAGAATGCAAAAAGTATCACATTGGATGTTGAATTCTAACTGACAAAGGAACTTCGATTACTTCAGTTCTTAAGCCTTCAAAAATGATGGTTTTAAAACGAGCGTGATTACTGTCGTAAAAGATATTTAGGAAATGTTGCATAAAAACTGATTTTTATGCACTTTTAAAACAAATAGTCACCATTATACTATTTCTGAACTTGTTACTTAAATTATACAAGAAAATTGTGGACTGTTAGTTGAGCAAAAACAATGCTATCAAATAATATTATCTGACTAATACGCCTATCACAAGATTAAATCCTCACTCTAGATATTAAGTTTTTCCTGTTCGTTATTGAATAACCTAAGTAAATTAGATAATTTGAAAAGATTCATGTTGTATGTATTCAAACATATTGTAAGCATAAATGACAACATAAGAGCATACTATGCTGCAGTATAACTGCCTAGGAAAGAAAAATAAGGATTGTGCTAACGGTCTTTCCTACTTCCCTAACTCAGAACACATCATTGATAAGTTGAAGATATGTTAAAATTTAAATGAAACTAATATTTTTCGCATATACTACGCGTTTACTACTTTTCAACAACATTGATCATGACATCTGGTCTAGCCGAAACGTCGGAAGTATGTAGTTTTGTACAAAAATAAAGCACGCGTAGTAAACAAGAAAAATATTAGTTTCCTTTAAACGAATAAAACTCCCGAAAGTCTTAGTTCTCATTATGTTAAAATTTGTTTCGTACTAAGAGTGTCGATAATAAACTACTGATTGAACGAGAGATATAAATTTAAAAATTATAATTTTAAGAATTTCGAATTCTTATTTACATTATAATAATTATATATTATCATTACATTTGAAAAACCCTCGTATAAAACTTATATTGATAAAAATTACATCAAAGTGTCCAATATTATATTCATTTCACCCTAACTTACTTATCAGTCGACTATTTAACGAGCTGTGTCATTGCAAAAAAAATACAATTGTAGTGTACTTATTATTCCAATATTAAATTTTCATCTTCATATTGAAATTAAACCTAATATATGTACCTATAAGTCATCTTTTTTGCTCTAGTCAAATAGTAATTTGTTTTTCGAAAGTAATTTTTTTTAGGTACGCTTTGTATATTAATATAACTTTTATAAATAATACACTTCTTTCCTAAGATTTTTATTTCTAAGAACTTGAATCTTTTTTTTCTGTAATACATACAGGTTCTTCAGTGAGTCCCGTCACTTTACTATGTTGACTATTTTTATACATCTCATCCAAATGATTCTTCAAAAGTATTGGCAATTCATTAGCAAGATATCCTTGTACGTAAGCCGAAGCAGCTCTCGGATCTCTTAAATAGTGTTCCAATTGAATTATCGAGAAACTTATAGACCTGAAAGAGTAAATCATTCTTATTATGACGAAACCTGACCTTTAAAACATAAGCTTTGTTGAAAGAGAAAGATTTGTAGTGTTAAATAAGGAGTTTTACATCAAAATTTTTGATTGCAATAAATTTATGACTCACCTCCATTTCAAAACCTCAAAAGTAGGGTCCGTTTTGTCGGCATTAATTTCAAAATTAACAGGTAAGTCTTGTATCTCTGCAACGAAATCGTATTCAGCTACTACTGTGTTATTCTCATGGCGTAGAGTACCTCTTATCTGCAGATTAAGAATTTATACAACAAACAAATTAGTTATTTTCTATGAACAGTTAAGATTAAATGACCACGAATGTTCGGTTTCATTTTCTTCAATTATGAACATTCAAATACTAGCTTTACAAATATGATAATTAGTTATAATTGCAGGTTCGCATTTTCAAATTAATTTAAAGGATGAACTATAAAATGAAATATAACTTATATTTTACAATTTTAACAAAACAATATATGAATAATCACCGTTAAGGAATTAAAACGTAAAGATTCAGCTATTTTCGTCGTCTGTAACTTGAAAGGTCCCCCAGTGTGTGAGGAATACAATGAATCTAGACCGTGGACTGTCACATTGTCAATGATCATGTAATTAGCACATGGACCTTCTTCACACTGGAAAAAAAAGAAACTTTATCTCCAATATAAAATGATTATTCTGTAAACAGTAAGAAGTAAATGTAGAAAAGGATGATGTCTCTCTTCAGATAATTAATTATCTAAAATAAAGACTACATATTACTATCCGACAGTAAAGTAAAAGCAAGAAGATGTGTTTATTTGTGAAAAATATATGTACACTAGGAAGATATTAAACAATGTTATAATTTAAGTAAGCGTAAACTGTGTACAATTACATTCACTATAACATTTAGTATTTCATTCAAATATTTGGCCTAAATATTTAAATGAAAATATTTGAGGCAAATTTACATACTTAAAGGTATGACAACGACCCTTCTCAAATGACATAAATAAATATTTTATACATGTTCTAATTATAATAATGAATTCCATTTTAAGGTTTAAAATGCAAAGTTATGTTGACGACGCTTTATAAATTTGTTGCGATAAACTTCGTCAAACATATCAGATTTCCAAGTAACAAGTTCTTTAACTGAACATCAGAAATACTAAGAAGATTAAAATATCTTATACATAATACTTACCGACATACTTGCATGAAAATATTAAATTTAAATACGACTAACAATTTAAAATCAGCCAAATAAATATTATTTCATGCAAATAACCAAGGATAACTAATTCTTATCGTATATATTTTTTTAATATAACGAGAAAATAACAAGACAAAGAAATAAAAAGAAAGAAAAAGAGTTGTAAGATCATCAGTAAGAAATAATCTTTTTGTTAATTTTGTGAGTTAATAAATTTAAATAAATCTTACAATAGTTTTACTATATTTACGGAATGTTGGCATCCTCATTGCGGCCTGTCCAGTTTCAACGGTCTCAGAATTAATATTTCTGACAACATCTGACACGTATTTGTCAGCAGTTTTGAACAGATTGTCCTGATATTTTCTGAAATAATCCAAAATAGAACAGGAATTTTACTAAAGAAATATTTCTAAAGAAGCGTCGTTACAAATCTCTTATTATTTCGAGACTTCTCTGAATAATAATAGATTGATAAAAATAAACGAAAAACCATTTAAATAACAATATAACCACGTGATATATGTATTTTTATTATTTTATATGATTCATACCTGAATTTTGGCAAATAACTATCAAATATAACGGAGGTGTTGAGTACTGTAAACACGGTAGACTGAAGTTTCGGAAGCATTTCTTCTCGTACTGGCTTCGTCAATAGTTTTTGTAGTGCATCAGCTTCATGTTAAATATATAACATTAAAAATTTATGATTCAAACTAATCTCATCACATACATATTAGGTATTTGTAATATTAAATTTTCTATATCTATTGATAATAAACATGACATTCAAAAATGTTCAACAAATGTTGAGTAACTTTTAATAAAAAAATATTTTAAAACATAAAATCAATTAAAGAAAATTGAATTTAAAATTAACGGTAATTACCTTGTTCCGGAGTAAAGTAAGGAGCTATGACAGGAGGGGTGCCAAGGCGTATCGAAGAGATCTTTAAAAAAGTAATAATTCTAACCACGAATCATGTAACAACAAAAAAAAACAACGGATTTCTATTACCTCGACACTAAATTTACAGTTCCTAACAGATAAAGTGTCATGTCCCAAGTTCACAGTGTGTCCACTCAATTTAATCAACCCATAGCCCCCTAGTGAGCATTGATCGGCTATGATTCTAAAAAAACGAAGAAATAACCTAAGTGTATGAATTATAGAAAATGGGCCTGTTTTGTAATACATATTAAGATTGAAAAGTAGCCGCTAGGGACATGACCTGACCGAGGTCAGGCAGCAAAACAGATTAATCTTACTTATGCCAATCATGCTCAGAAAGCTATGAACATTGTAACATATATTTTCTTTAACAGGGTCAAAAACTCACGCCAGACTTCCTCTAAACTGTATTTGTTGTAAACTGAATGGAGAATGCTTATTTGTCTTTGTACCAGAATCGAATACAATGTCAGATTGATTCCTGAACGCTAAATATTTGCATTCAATTATCATCCTGGTCAGACTTGACTCTAATCGTAGGAGGTTTGACGCTAGGGCGAATGTGACATCGGGTCTTATAAGTTGAGGCAAACTTGTTAGAGTCACTTCCATAAGTAGCCTAAAAAAGTTTTGTTTGACATCATAAGCATAATGAAATCTAATACTTTCGCGAGTATTAATTTAAATGAAACTATTATTTTTTCGCCTTACTACGCTTTATTATTATAGTAAGAAACTACATAAAAAATATTAGTTTCATTCAAATCATAACATTATATCAGGTCGGCATTTGAAAATAAAATATTAATAACTAATATGATCACATGTCTTTCCATGTACAAATTTAATTAAACAATAAATTCGATAATATAAAAGTCGAAACTTCAATAATTAAATGACCACATGAATGACGTTTTCTAATTAATAATATATTGATATAACTTTTTCATAGTGAAACCACATAAGTACATTTTAAAATAGCAAAAACTAAAACACATGTCTATATTATTTAGTTCCTAAAAGGTTTTAGTTTCGCTGCCAAATCTTTGAATATTATAATTGACGAAGAAAATAGATTCATATTAACTGAATTAAAATAAAATAAATGTTATGGATGGACATACACGTCGACAACATTGTCGGTAAAGTAGAATCCATTAGATAACCTCAAGCTGTCAGCTGACCGTCTCACGAAGACGTTCATACCTCTCAAACCGTAATTCTCTTTTAAAGCCTGTCAATATTAATAGTAATATTGTGAGCATGAAATAACTTAATGAGCTATGAAGAATATTAGATGCTTTACTTACAGTCTCCAGGGCATCTTCAAAAGACCTTCTGTGAGCCTGCCAATGTTTTTGATACGACCGAAATACATCTATAATGACAGTTAAACGTATTAAAACTTTAAAATTATCGTAAATTTGGAAGTTTTTAACAAAAATGGTCTTCGAAGAAAATTAAAAAGGGTCTACAAAGAGAAAATGTATAGTTAAGACTTATCAAAATTTATCATTATTTTATCAAAAGGTTTTTATTTGAGAATATGTTCAAAATTATAAATATTTTCTCAAAAAAATTCTTATTAAATTAGGAAAATCTCATACAAAATGAATCCACAGTTTTAAAGTAAACTATGTAAACGAAAGCATTTTCTATAGAAATCTATTGAAAGATTTACAAAGCAACTTCAGTCACTTATTATACGTAGTTTGGTTAACCGTAACTCTTGAAAGCAATACACTTGATGTTGCATAAATTATTCGGCAAAAAGAAAACTTTAATATCAAATAAATGTAATATTCACTAACCGCCTTTGAAATACTGGAGTACCTTTTGCCCGATATCTGCGGAAAGAACGCATTGTATGAAAAATACACCTACAATAATACTTCTGTACATTTCATATAACAATGGGGACGCTCTTTAAATATGTTATTTCAAACTTAGCAAGAATAAAGTTACTGAATTGAAAATTTTAATTGCGCTAAATGTAAACGTCAGTGGCGAGGCATGAAATTATTCAATTTTCTAGAATAACAAAGAATAAAGTAATTTTTCAATAACTATAATTTTTTAAGATAATTTCTGAAAGCAAGACCAGACTTTTTAGATGTTCTTATATAACTTATGCAATTATGTTAATATAATTGATAACATAATAAAATGAAAATGTACAACTTAATAAAGTTCTGTATTATAGAACCCACGTCCAATTATATTCCAAATAATATAACTGAAATATTTTAATTTGTGAAACATATTATTATCATGTCGATTTAAAAATATTTTGAAGTCTTCTGTCTTAAATATAAACATTGCAATCGATAAATAAATATCGCATACTTGCAAGGTCTTGCCAAAAAATCTTTGAAATAATGTACTTTCTACAAGAAATTAGAAAAAAATTACCGTTAGGAAAAGTATTAAAATTTCACATAAAACAACACAAAAATTGATAATTCATAGCAAAAATAAATACTAAATATCACAAGAATGTTAAAACTTATATGAAATAAATCATTATTTTTGTTGTTTGGTTTTTAGGAAGTTTTTGATGGAAAAACGTTTGAGAAACAAGGAATAAAAGTAGTCATAAATAAAAACAACAATAACTAAAAAGAAATACAAGAAATATTTTATTCATATACAATATTTATAAAAGATGATATACAGTGGAGAAACTACGATATTGAAAATTTCCTATGTGAAGATTTGTTAGGAAATATTAAGCCATTTCAATTAACTTTTCATAATCTATCATAAAATTTTACTGCATATAGCATATTAAATGTCACTTCTATACAACAATGCTTGAGAAGGGCGTCTCTTTATATAAGCAAAATTTGATTTTATTATTCTCATTGTTATTCTTTTCTACAAATTGTCAAGACGATTGCTGGGTCACATTTGATGCAAAAGATCATTTTCAAGTTGTAGATGAAATTGACGGTAAGAAAATGAATTCGTATTTAAAAAAAAAGAGACGTCAGCATACTGACGTCACGTATGTGTTCTCAAATGTGGTCAGGGTCCCAGGCTATTGAAGGTAACCTCGGCACTGGTTTGACAAATCCCTTACTTCGAAGAGGTCCAATCCATGCAACCAGACGGCTCAAGCGAGACCCTCTTTAATCTGCACTCTCGCATTTATTTATACCCACCAAAACTAATTGTTGTTACTACACTTGAACAGGTAACTAAAGTGGTTATGCGAGTGACACCTGATAATTTCAACTACCCTCAATTATTACTCATTCATTCAGTAAGTAAACGGCCATTCCGACGGTTGGTGCGCGCTCTGCACTATACTGCTTACTTGGTTAAAATTTCACATGAGAAGAGAAAGACTGATCGTTATGAGCCGATATATACATATAATGATAAAAACGAATCACAGTTGTTTTTCATCAAAGAAGCATCATATATCGTTATTAGGATTATTTAAATCGTTGTAATTCTGTGAAGCTGTACCTCTTGTGTTTAGGTTTAAACAACCACGCCTTGTCCTATAACTTTTTAATTATTTCAGACCGTTATGCTGAGGTCAGACAAAACTTCCAAGCAGCAGTGGGGGGAAATAAATTTGATAAAGAGATGCTAGACGTGAGTTCAAACAGTTTTTATTAGAACTATCCGTTTCCCATAAAATTCAAGTAATATAATAATTAATAATTTTATTAATTAATATTATATAAAACCCTTATAACAAAACTGTTTTGAAACAATTTTTTTAAATTTCATTCATTTGGAACATAGTTTATATCAAAACACTTTTAAGATACAAATAACCTGTTCCATTCTATAATCCTCAATTAAATTGATAAAAAAATTAAGCTATTAAACTATACAGCTATTTATAAAACCAAATCCAAGTAACGTTTCAAAAAGAGTTAAAATAACAATGTATAGATCGTTACATACTCGTATCAAAATTGGGTATACGACGTACGTATCAATGACAAAGATATAAATAACAAGCCTTTTGTTATTACACTATCTATTGGTATATTCCTATCGAAAAATCAATCACCAATATTTTGCTTTACTAAAATTCAAAAGCGACGGCCAGTTTAAAGCTTATTTTAGTTTTGTCCTGTCCTTCACGTTTCAGTAAAGAATTGATTTAAAATAAAAAGAAACCAATTTGTTATTTAAAACCATAACTATTTGGTATTTGGATTCGCAATAGATTGTTAGATTCTTGTTATTGTAAGCCATCTTATAACATTAATTAATATCCAGAAGATTACAAACATAGTTTTCAAATACACTAAATGTCTCCGAAATCATTGTACAGGCAATGCTCAAGACGCGTGGTATAGCTGAGCGAGCTGAACACAAAGCTTTTGTGGACCAAAGTCAGATCCCTGCCGGTATAAACCTCGGAGGCAGCTGTATGATGAGAATACCTAATGCTATTCTGTAAGTAAATAACGCCACACAACTTCTATGACAATTATACACCTTGAGTTGTAAAGAAGCAGAAATTACACCTTCATTTTCTTTCATAAAAAATCATAATTTTTAATCCAAATATATTTTATAATCAATTTAAACAACACAATTAATTGTTCTAGATTTTTCCATCGAATGAAGCTGCGCAACAACACGAGGTTCAGAGTTGTCAAACTGGAGAGTAATCTCACTACTTTAGAACTGAAAGCCAGTTTAAACCTTAATGACCTACATCTGTTAGGGTCTTATGACATTAGTCACACACTGCGAGAAACATCGCATCTGATGTACTATCCATCATTCGGTGAAGTAGAGTAAGTTGATGCAATAAAAAAAACAGTCTATACTAGTACAAACTGAAATAGACTAGATTTGACGTTATGTATAATTAATAATAACCTAAACCAACAGGTTTCTGTTAAAGAACGTCTCATACGAAGTAGACGGCCACTATCGTCTGTTAGACAAACGATTGAACTTAGAACTTGTGACATCAGAAATTTCTATGGACGGTATTATGATGACGGTAATAATATATAGTTTTATATTTTAATGTTAAAGTTATTAATACTGCAGTACTATAAAGCAGTGAGAACAAAACTAGTAAAAAATAATGTTAACAAAGAAATATACTAGCAATGTCTACATGCTTTCAGTATAAGGACCGGAATTCAAGTAATAGCTTCAGTATGGAGACGAAAAATATAGGTAAACAAAACTTCTTCTTCTTTTACCTGGCAATTTCCCAGCTTTTTGCCAGGCTCTGCCTTCCTGCTCAACTTCCTCCACTTTGCCTTTTCTTCACCTGCACTAAGGTACTTTCTACAAACGGTACATAAAACTAAATAAATAAAGTCGCTTGTAAATATACAAAAATAACTTTTTATATAATAATGATGAAAACTTTCGCTATATTATAATATCATTCACTGTTTGAATTTGATGCCAGAATGTTTTATATGAGCCCAATTAAGTCAACCTTAGTGGTGTGTCTAATGAATCATTAAGAACATCTGACCTGAAACCTTAGCTTCAGATTGTAACGAAGGTTCGCCTAATGATGCTTTTTCCTCTAAAATTTTTGAAACAGAGAAAAATTTGACAAATATACTCAAAAACTTATGGATGACATTACATAAATACCATTTAATAGTTTAAATATGCACAGGCAAATTCATTTTAATTACACTCTTAGAAACGTTAATATAAAAGTAATTAAATTAATCTGAAATCATTTTGATTGTCCTACAGACTATTATTCTGATTTCTACCTCACATACATTTTTAAGTTAAATAACGCATAAGACATGAACATTAATACGTATAATGCTTTTTGATATTTTTAGCGTCCTTCACAGAGCGTCTCCAAGTTGATTTAGATAAATGGATTCGAGATTACTTCAATGATTATCTTGCATACTTCATTGTGGCCAAAGACAACGAATTTGAGTACTTAATATTTATACATTTAGATATACTATAAAATACATTACATGCTCTGATTAATATTTGAATTTCCAGAAAATACAATCAGGAGAAGACAGCTGCTCTCAACAATTATGCGGACAAAGTAATAGACATTATAAAACAGAAAATATATAAAATAAAAGCTCACGCCGTCCAACTGCCGACGTTCACGATCAAAACTGAAAATGGCGCGGTAAATTATTTTACAAAATAAAAATTCATTACAATACAGACCAAACCATTCTCTATACAACTTTAAAACAGACTGGACTTATTAATTTAAATGAGAATTTATGTCAAGGGCCTTCAATCACAAATCTGAAATGCAGTCATTTACACAAATTTATAGAATATATTAACGATATCGCAAAATCATGGTACATATAACTTATAAATCAAATTTGAAAATTAATTTAGCGATTAGGTCCTCAAACGAAATAGAGATAGAAAAACGATATTTCTTATATTGCCCTCTCCCTTTTCCCACCCTTTCCTCTTCTTGCCCAATCAAGGATGGCAACGCATCTGCAATACTATGTTGCGATTATTATCAATCGGCTACAGTAATACCTGCATCAGTTAGGCCGTCTGCTCGTTTGCCCCCTTTGTCATAAAAATGTGTATACATACTACAAATAGGCAATATTGAAATGTTAATATATCGATTCTTTTAATTTTTTCTCAAATGTTACAGGACATTCGATTGAGGGATGGTGTACTGAGAGGCTTGGACAGTATCTACCGTCGTTCTATAGCCACTGGCTCTAAAGAGAATGACCTACGACATGTGGACGCAGTTGTTGGATTCAGCAACGTGAAAGTATATTTTTTTTTTAATTATAATCTCTTTTATTTTATAACGTTTATATAAAAGAGAGAGAGAGAGAGAGAAGTCTTTCTCTTTCCCCGTCACTTTCTATTAAATATTCTTTAAATAACTAGCTATTAAAGTAATTTCATTTGTTAATTAAAATAAACTAGCTTGCAAAAAAACTTGTGAGAAACTATTCATATACGAATACTGTTATTTAACTTCACATTGATGAATTAAAAAAATATATTGAAATTTTGTGTTCATTTCTTTGATTACTTCAAGTTAAAATAAATTTGGTGTTACTCTTTTTTTGATATCGTTCGGTTATGTGATTTTTTCTATTAATTGACACACTATACATAAATTATAATTGCTACACATTTGTTCCATACTTTGACTATTGATTGCAGTTACAATATAGATACGACACCATCTCTCAGTCGGCTTCACCTTCCGTCACCGGAGTGTTGACTCTCACAGCTGATGATTTAACAGCACTCATGGAATTGAAGTTAATAAAGGAATCTGAATCCTCGGACATCAGTTTCAGATACCTCGAACAGACCAGGTATACATATAACTTATATATTTTCTTTATGTTAAAGGTGGCAAACGAGCAGACGGCCTACTTGCTGGGCAGTAGCTAAATGAACATCCGCAACATCTCTGTTGCGGATAAATTACCAACCCTAAAAAACCTAAAAAACATAGGGAAGGGTGGGAATAAGAGAATGTCATGAAAAGGTTGAAATAGAAAAAAACAACCGGCTCTCACTCATCGGACGAAACGCAGCCATTAAAGGCTACTTCACGCCGATCTTCTGTGAAAGGGTGGTACTTCGGCGGTACAACCAGCCATGTTCGAGTTGTAGTGACACGACTACAGCAAGGCTTTACCACCTAAAAAATTAATAGTTGTTCAGTTATTTTCTCAGCTGTTTTCATCTTTTGTCTTCTAATTTATATACAGGCCCGAGTCCCTGACAGTGGAAGGTTCAGCTAATCGGATGATTTCCAATTTCAAGTATGTCCTCGAGCGTCACGTCATAGCTATCATGACGAACACCCTCATGCACAATATTAAAATGCTCGGCACGTTGGATAAATGCGGTGAGATATTACTTATGGGATCCTTCAACATGACGTGTGTGTCGCTTGACAAATTTGAATTATAAATTAGTTTATGGAATTGTTTTTCAAGACTTGATAATTTTTCATTCTATTTGTTATATATATATATATATATATTTTACCTTAGACTTCACTTAATATAGTACCGCTAAAGTTTATACATCACATCACCTTTTGACTATCGTTTTCAGACAATTTTCTTTCATTTACCTTTATTGTTATTTGCGTTCACAGTGCCAACATTCGCGGCGTATAAAGACCCAACCGAAAAACAGATGGAAAATGATTATCCTTCAGAAGAAAAGAAACTTTTGAAAGCTGATGAGACTAGTGAGAAGACGCAAACAAACGAAAACGATAATCAAGACGATAATGATATAGAAAAAATAAATAAATCGGATGATGATGATGATGAAGATAAAGAAGACGGTGACAAAAAACCTCAAAAGAAGGAAAAATCAGAGGAAGCAAGAATAAAAAAAATTCTCTCCGATAATACTATAAATATTGAATATTCACCTAACAACTATTACAATAAAGATTCTAACGTAGTACCCCAAGGTGAAAAGGTAATTAAGAATAGCAAAGGTACAAAGAACCCAAAATTAAACAAGAAGAATACTGTTCCCCCAAAAAAGAAAAACAATAAAAAACCAAAAAAGAAAAGGAATACGCGCCCAAAAAAGCAGAGATATATCCGCCACAAAAAAAAGGGGTGAAATAAAATGTTATAAAAGCTGTTCAAAATATTTTTTTTTAGTTTTTAAATAATTCAAAAAGGTGAGGAGGCTTTCAGTTGTTATTGTTATAAATTTTATTAGACTTTTATAACTTCTATCAATAAATAAATAGACACTGGTAATGGCAATCAATTGCAGTAGCAATGATATTTTCTTTTGTAGTTTTTTTACACCTCTGTAACCAATAAATATTACGGATTTGGTAGAAAAACGTATATATCTTTCACATAATAATATACTAAATAATTAAGTAAATCGCTTTTAAAATAACAATATATTTCATTTTACTTCGACTATATTTATTTAATAATTCATCTCGATTAGTACAGTATTGTCAGCAGTGGCGGCTGTACCTTAAGTGCACTCGTGCGCTGAACCACCAATTCAAAAGATTTAAAAATTACAAAATATTACTTCATCTTTAATTTTAAATTACCATTTTAATATTTATTTTCTAAACATACAAAAACATATAAAAAATTAAATTTCTAATTATAGTCAAAAAGTTTGAACGCTTTACTAAACTAATATCTCGTGCGCTTCGGCGAGTGCACGAGGACTGCTAATACATCTTGTATGAGATACGCATTAATACGCCTGGCGCGTGAAACAAAAGATACTTCATAGAAATGTACCGAGTAATGAGTCGGTTCTCGAGCGCCGCACGAGCGACCGAAGATTACCGAGAGCACCCGATGTATGACGAATTGAGCCATGATTGACATCTCGTTATATTGTTTTGTTGCATTTTCTAATTTTAATATTTTAGTAAAGTGCACCACTGCACCGGTTCGATTACCCACCGGCCGCCGCTGATTGTCAGTATGTCTACTACCTTTTTTCGGTATAAATATTGTTTATTTTTAAAGTATACTTTATACCTTTTTGTTTAAAAAAAATCTTTTAAATATGTTTGAGTTAGTCCAAATTCGGTATTTTTAAATAGTAACGTCACCACGTATAGCTCCACCAATGCCTTTACTAATCATTATCGCAAGGATCTCAAATTATTGAAGATATCATTGTAAACATTTTTATGGGAAAAGTAGCAGACAGCCTACCTGATGCTGGTGACAGTCACCATGGACATCCGCAACGTAGATTTGCGGATGTGTTGTCGCCCTTGATTAGGAAAAAGGGGGAGGAAAATGTGGGAAAGGAAGGGTAAGGAAAGGGTGGGAAAAGGGAAAGGGCACCGGCTCTCTCGCTCACTGGCCAAACGCAGCCATTAAAGACTAGGTACTTCACGCTGATTTTCTATGAGAGGGTGGTACTTCCCCGGTCAAGCCATCCCATGTTCACAATGCAGTAACTTGACCACAGGTAGTCTTTACCACTTATAATCTGGAGAATCTCTTATTTCGAAGAGGTCCGATCCCTGCAACATCTCGAAATAGCGGAAAGAGTGATACGACCAAGTAGGCTCGAATGATATGTACGAGCCTGTTTGGCAATTTTAGATTGAATAGATTGTAAATCAAGCCAAACTGAATTTATGATGAAGATTTTTTAAATCAATAGATTGTGAAATATCAAAAGGCTTGTTATTCAGTTTGTTTTCATTAGTAAGTACACCGACCAATAACGATCCATAAATTTTTATTTCAAATTTACTTATTTATTATTCCACAAAATAAGACGTGAATTATTAAGGAGAAACAAAACAAAAAATATTTATATACAAAATTAAGAAAATGATAGTAAACAGAGCAGAAACTACGACTTTTGAGATTTCCTATGTGAAGATGGATTTGTTAGGAAATATTAAGCCATTTCAATTAACTTTTTATAATCATACATAAAATTTAACTGCATATAGCATATTAAATGTCACTTCTATACAACAATGCTTGAGAAGAGCGTCTCTTTATATAAACAAAATTTGATTTTATTATTCTCATTGTTATTCTTTTCTACAAATTGTCAAGACGATTGCTGGGTCACATTTGATTCGAAAGAGCACTTTCAAGTTGTAGATGAAATTGACGGTAACTATAAATTAATACAAATAATATTCACGAATTACAGATTTCGATCATACGGAAGAATCACATATCGTTATTAGGATTATTTAAATCGTTGTTATTCTGTGAACCTGTATCTCCTGTGTTTAGATTTAAACACCCACGCCTTGTCCTATAACTTTTTAATTATTTCAGACCGTTATGCTGAGGTCAGACAAAACTTCCAAGCAGCAGTGGGGGGAAATAAATTTGATAAAGAGATGCTAGACGTGAGTTCAAATAGTCATTATTTTTGACTAGACTGCAGACTTATGGCTCGCTCTTTAAAACAAACTGTTTCTTATAACGTTCAAATGAAATAACAAATTCATGAATATTATATAAAATACTTATAACAAAACTGTCTTGAAACATTTTTTTAAAAACTTCATTCAAAAGGAAGTTGTCAGAAACACGATTAAAATTCAACAATAGAAATTGGGTGAACAGTATCAATGAAAAGAATATAAGTATGTATAATTAAAAACCTTTTGCTATTACACCATCTATTGATATATTCCTATAGCAAATCACTTAAATTCAAAAGCGACAGCCGGTTTTAAAATTATATTTGGTTTTTCCTTCCTTTTATTTGCCAGTAAAAAAATGATTTAAAAAAAAAGAAACCAAAAACTCATTTTAAAATTATGAATAGCAATTTATCATTTGAAAATGCAGATTTTTTTTTTATTGTTGTTATTGTCAGCCAACTTTTTATATTGATTAATCTGGATAAGACCGTAAACATAGTTTTCACATACACATACATTCAATGTCTCCGAAATCATTGTACAGGCAATGCTCAAGACGCGTGGTATAGCTGAGCGAGCTGAACACAAAGCTTTTGTGGACCAGAGTCAGATCCCTGCCGGTATAAATCTCGGAGGCAGCTGTATGATGAGAATACCTAATGCTATACTGTAAGTAAATAAATACATTATACAACTTCTATAAGACTTATACGCCTTGAGTTGAAGGAGTTACCCGGAAGCGTAAAATGCACCTTGATATAAATCTATTTAATTATGCTGTTTTTATCTACTTATCTTTCATTAAAAATCATAATTCTCAATCATAATTCAAAAAAATCCGCTAATTTTATCTTTAGTTCAGTTATCAACAATATAAGGCAGCAACTTTAGTATGTAACATAATTAATTGTTCTAGATTTTTCCATCGAATGAAGCTGCGCAACAACACGAGGTTCAGAGTTATCAAACTGGAGAGTAATCTCACTACTTTAGAACTGAAAGCCAGTTTGAACCTTAATGATCTACATTTGTTAGGGTCTTATGACATTAGTCACACACTGCGAGAAACATCACATCTGATGTACTATCCATCGTTCGGTGAAGTAGAGTAAGTTGATGCAATAAAAAACAGTCTATACTAGTACAGACTGAATTAGACTAGATTTGACGTTATGTGTAATTAATAATAACCTAAACCTACAGGTTTCTGTTAAAGAACGTCTCATACGAAGTAGACGGCCACTATCGTCTGTTAGACAAACGATTGAACTTAGAACTTGTGACATCCGAAATTTCTATGGACGGTATTATGATGACGGTAATAATATATATAGTTTTATATTTTAAAGTTAAAGTTCTTAATACTGCCGGACTATAAAAAAAAATTAAGTTATTTTTATTAGTACAAAGGATTTTTAACAAAGAAATATATTAGCAATGTCTTCATGCTTTCAGTATAAGGACCGGAATTCTAGTAATAGCTTCAGTATGGAAACCAAAAATATAGGTAAACAAAACTATTATCCCATAAAAAACGACTCATAAGGTACTTCCTACAAACGGTACATAAAACTAAATAAATGAAATCGCTTGCAAATATACACAAATAACTTTTTATATAATAATAATGAAAGTTCGCTAACTTTCGCTATATTATAATATCTTTCACTGTTTGAATTTGATGCCAGAATGTTTTATATGAGCCCAATTAAGTCAACCTTCGTGGTGTGTCTAATGAATCATTAAGAACATCTGACCTGAAACCTTAGCTTCAGATTATAACGAAGGTCCGCCTAATTACACTTTTTCCTCTAATACATAGAAAAATTTAACAAATATACCCAAAAACTTAAGCATGTATATAATGTAATATACACTGGCACATTCATCTAAGTTACATTTTAGTAACTTTGAAATAAATGTGCTACTGAAACTACTTATCTGATTTCTAAAACTCTTACTGGTATACATATTTTTAATGCTTTTGTAATATTTTTAGAGTCCTTCACAGAGCGTCTCCAAGTTGATTTAGATAAATGGATTAGAGATTACTTTAATGATTATCTTGCATACTTCATTGTGGCCAAAGACAATGAATTTGAGTACGTAATTTTTATGCATTTAGATATACTATAAAATACATTACATGCTCTGATTAATATCTGAATTTCCAGAAAATACAATCAGGAGAAGACAGCTGCTCTCAACAATTATGCGGACAAAGTAATAGACATTGTAAAACAGAAAATTTATAAAATAAAAGCTCACGCCGTCCAACTGCCGACGTTCACAATCAAAACTGAAAATGGAGCGGTAAATTATTTTACATAATAAAACTCATTATAATACAGACCAAACTAATCCCTGGATAACTTTTAATAAGCCCAAGATTATTAATTTAATGAGAATTTATATCAGGGGCCTTCAATCATAAGCTGAAATGCAAACATATACACGTATTTATAGAATACTAGCTGACCCGGCGAACTTCGTACCGCTCATAAAAAAAAAAATTTGAGAAAAAATTAAAGTTTTTAATTAACAAATAAAAAATAAGGGTTGACCTCAGAGGGGTGAAAATTTAGGGTTGTATGTATTTTTGTAGGTTGTGTCATAAAAAAATAAAACAAAAAATTTTGCCTAAAAAATAAAAACAAAAATTTAGGGGTGGACTACCCTTAACATTTATGGGGATGAAAAATAGATGTTGGCCGATTCTCCCCCCTGGTTAGTATCCTCGATAAGGATCACGAAAATCGTTCGAGCCGTTTCGGAGGAGTTCAACTTCGAACACCGTGACACGAGAATTTTATATATTAGATATAAACGATATCACATATTCATGATGCAGATGATTTATAAATCATATTTTAAAGTAATTCAGCAATTATTTCCTTAAACATGGTAAAGACAAAAAACAAAATTTCTTATATTGTCCTTTCCCTTCCCCCCTCCTTCCTCCACTTCTTCCCCGATCAAGGATGGCAACACATCCGCAAAACTATGTTGCGCTTGTCAATCGACTACAGTACTACCTCGTTCAATCGTTTACCCCCTTTGTCAAAAAAATTACTACAAACAGGCAATATTGAAACGTTAATACATCGATTTTTTTAATTTTTCTCATATTCATGTTCCAGGAAATTCGCTTAAGAGATGGTGTACTGAGAGGCTTGGACAGTATCTACCGTCGTTCTATAGCCACTGGCTCTAAAGAGAAAAACCTTCGACATGTCGATGCAGTTGTTGGATTCAGCGACATGAAAGTATACAATATTTTATTACAAACTCTCTTATTTTATAACGTATATATAAATCTTCTCTCTTTTTTTTCGCTTGCCGTCATTTTTTATTACATATTCTTTAAATAACTATTAAAGTAATCTATTATATCATTTGTTATTTAAAATTAACAAGCTTGCAAAAAAAACTTGTGATAAACTATCCATATACGAATACTGTTATTTAATTTCACATTGATGAACATTTTGGAATTTAAAGATATATTAAAATTTGATGTTCATTTCTTTGGTTATTTAAAGTTAAAATAAATTTGGTGTTGCTCTTTTTTGATGTGCAATTTTTTCTATTAATTGAATACACTATACATAAATTATAATTGCTACACATTTGTTCCATACTTTGACTATTGATTACAGTTACAATATAGATACGACACCATCTCTCAGTCGGCTTCACCTTCCGTCACCGGAGTGTTGACTCTCACAGCTGATGATTTAACAGCACTCATGGAATTGAAGTTAATAAAGGAATCTGAATCCTCGGACATCAGTTTCAGATACCTCGAACAGACCAGGTATACATATAACTTAAATGAAACTAATGTTTTGCGCGTGTTTTATTAGCGTGTTGAGACTTATCAAGAGTAGCATTTCCTTGCAAAAAGTGGGTGTATACAAACTTGATTGCGACTGTGGGTTGTCATACATTGGACAGACAAAGAGGATCATCGGTACAAGGGTTAAGGAACACATCTCAGACATTAAAAATAGGCACGCGTAGAAGTCATCATAAATAACAAGACCAACTGACAGACATTCACATCTCGTCTGCCTGTGATGATGAAACGTCGAGAGTATGTAGTTTTTTACAAAAATAAAGCACGCGTAGAATATCCGAAAATATTAGTTTCATTTAAATGAATATTCGCGAAAGTCTTAGATCCCATTGTCCATATAACTTGTGTAAATTTTATTTGGTCAGTTATTTTCTCAGCTGTTTACATCTTTTGTCTTCTAATTTATATACAGGCCCGAGTCCCTGACAGTGGAAGGTTCAGTTAATCGGATGATTTCCAATTTCAAGTATGTCCTCGAGCGTCACGTCATCGCTATCATGACGAACACCCTCATGCACAATATTAATATGCTCGGCACGTTGGATAAATGCGGTGAGATATTACTTATGGGATCCTTCAACATGACGTGTGTGTCGCTTGATAAACATTTGAATTATAAATAAGTTTATGGAATTTTACATTCTATTTGTTTTATATTTATTTTACCTTAGACTTCATTTAATTTAGAACCACTAAACTCCATAGATCAGACCTTTTGACTGTGGTTTTCAGACAAGTTTGTTTCATTTAATGTCACCTGTGTAAAAAAGTGATGTCTGCTTTCACAGTTCCAACATTCGCGGCGTATAAAGACCCAATCGAAAAACAGACGGATAATGACTTACCTTCAGAAGAAAATAAAAATTTGAACCCTGATGAGACTAGTGAGAAGACGCAAACAAACGAAAACTATGATCGAGATAATAATACAGTAAATAATGATGCTGAAAAATTAATGAATTCAGCGGATGGTGAAGATGAAGGAGACGGTGATAAAAAATCAGAGGAACAAATTGCTCAATAGAACATCGATGTTTCTGTAGATTTGGAACATTCACAAAATATCCATAAATATGGGAAAACTCCTAAACTGAGGAGAACTCACAAACCAAAATCTACAAAACATAAACGTCTATATAATAAACGTCTAATCAAAAAGTAATACATAAGTGCAACCGTCTTTCAAACAAAAAATGATGAAATTAAATGCTTTAAAATCTTTTCAGGTCTTGATACATGTAGGTTTATATTGGCTTTTTTCAAACTTCTATTAATATCACAAAAATTGTGCAACTGGTAAATGAGAGCAATTAAATGACACATTTCTTTAATATTCTTTTTACTGATAAATAATTTAATTTATTTTAATAATAATTACATCGTAAACATATGAGACGAAACCTCTCAGCATTCCATTGATTCACTGTGCGGGTGCCGAGTCCATCGCGTTGTAGGGACAGGAGCTTCAACAGTGCCTGGGACTTGCAACCGAGGTGTTGGTTTAAGGGTTAAGTGCTATGTTTTTTTTTAATGGCACACGTATTTGGGTGGGTATTAGTCTAACATCTCTTAAGCAAGTACTATTATTGGTTTTGTTTCTAAGTAGTAAATTCAAAAAGTAACACTATACAATACTATTATAAGAAAAAAATTTTAAACCCTATCACATTCACAATGATTTGAAGAACCGGAGACAGAACCATATTAATTCTAAAACCTTGAATACCAGAAAAGATTACGGTCTCCCTGAAATTTATACTAATTAATTGCATCTTAAGATAATTAGAGACAATCATATTTTATGCACAAAGTCCTCAATTAAAACTAAAAATATTCAAGATTTTACTAATTTTAATTAAATTATAATATCATGTCCATAAATGCTTTTGTAACTTTAGTAATCTTAATTACTAATTTTTAAAGAGCTCTGTATTAAGAATTTAATAAAAAAAAGTAACCCTTTTTCCCAACTATAGTAATTACACCCATATGCCTTTATTTTATATATCAAACTTATGGGAATGTGTGTTTATAAGACTCTGAGAATGTATAAGTAATAAAATTATTATATTTATTCTCTCGATATTTTGCTAGTACGTATATTGTTGAAGATTGTCAATATGACGAACAACATCTGTGATTTGACAGTAATTTGTCAAATCGACATTCGATGTTGTGGCATTTAATATGTTTCGAAATATCTCATACTTTAATCATTAATGCTTTTTAGGAGCTAGTATTATATCTTATTCAAATTTAAGTGATGTTTTCAAAAAGATGACGGAGACAGAACCAGTTGATATTGAGAAGGAGCTAGATGAACTTCTTACAGAAATCCAGCCAAATTTACAAGATGTTATCAAAAGAGTAAATAAATTCTAGCAATTCCGAATTTCTATGTCTATTAGCTAATTTCACTTTTTTATTTATATTGCTTACAGAGTTTCACAAACGTAGCTTTACAACAGACAAGAAATGGGGAACAAATTAAGCCTGATATATTGGAAGATACTTCATACTTTGCTAAAAATACTCAGGTGTAAGTTAAGTTGTTAGAAAATACCACGGGTAGTAAGATTATCTTGTATTTTACCTTGAAAACATTCTATATACTTGTTCCACAGAAACCTGACAAAGTTGGCTTTAGTTAGACCTCCAACATTCCACATGCAGAATGTGTCTCTGGACCTTAAATCCATGGAACTCCAGTTGAAGTGTTCACTAGGTGAAGTTAATATAACAGGCTTGTACAGTGCATATAATGAAAACCTATACAACCTCATACCTGTTATGGCTGAAGGACATTTACTGTAAGTCAATATTAAATATAAAAAAATAATCAAAAACAACTATTATTAAAAGTATGTGTATTTTAGGTCTTGCTTTAGAGGAAAAAAGGTTTGATATGAACAGAATCTACTTCATATATTGAATACTGTAAGACATTTCATAATTTAATTATATTCAACAAGCTTTCCGCCCGCAGCTTGCCCGCATGGAGTTCGGTTATATCGCATTTCCAAGAGAACTTTTAAAAAATCTGGGATAATAACTATCCTATGTTCTTTCTCAAGGTCAACTCTGTCTACCAAATTTCGTTAAAATCAGTTCAGTGGTTTAGACTTGAAATCGTAACAGACAGACAGACAGTCAGAGTTACTTTCACATTTATAATATTAGTAGGGATTTCTTGTTAATATAAATGCTCTATAGCATTTATAAATACTGTAAATACATATATATAAACAATTACAGTATAACATTATCAAACATGACTGCAGATGTGAATGTTGGACTAATTGTTGAAGATGACGCATTCTCCTTTATCAACCCCGGCATTGATTTTCTTCATGATGAAGTGTTGCTGAAGGTGACAATCTGTACCTATATTATTAAAATAAATTAAATTGAGGAATAAAAACAAAAAATGCATGTAATAGTCCTTGGGTATAGATTAATTTGGTGATCTTAATTATTTATAAATCACCATTACTCATGTTTGTAACTGATATTAAAGAAATTTTAATAAAATTTTAATGTCAGAGATATTGATATTATATTCTATAAATATTTACTTTCTCTTAGCTGTCATGGAGATCACCACAAAGAGATGGAGGCTACGAGTATACAACCACGGAACAGTTAGCTAAACATATTGGTAAGTTACAAAAGTGTACATTCTACTTAATATTTTTTAAGCCTTACATTCATATTAAATTTCCTTGCATTGAATTCAGTAGCATTTTAATTATTATTTCTAATAAATACATATTTTGTATCATTCCGTCATTATATATATATCTATATACTTATAATTTTGTATAATATTTAAGTTACTAAAATATTGTATGTAATCAAAATGTCACTCTCCGTCATTGTCAATTTAAGGAACAAATATTCTATAAAGTGTGCCTAGTAGATGAATATTATACAATTATAAGTATAAAAATATATATTAATTAAATATACATTTAAATACATTTGGAAATTCAAATTTAATTACTTAATGGCAATATTGTTACTGTAAAAATTATTAACAGCAGAATATTTATGGACTAAGTCTATACTATATTAACTCGTTTTACATTATCAGTATTACAAAATTTTATTACACACTTTCAAATTATTAAAAAGCTATCGCAAGGTCAATGAAAGGGCTATTAAAAATGTTAATGTTTTAACAAGCTAATATTTTACAATAGCAATAATAAATCAAACATCAATGTAACAAATATATGAATGACTATTTACTATTTATTGACTGCTAATCATAAAAATATAAATTTATTATACAATCACTCATATTTCATCATGACGTCATTGAATAGACAAGACTGTTTACAATAAGTATCTCTTTTCGTTGTACATACATTGTACTGCTGATTTTGACGACTTTTGTTTGTTTTTCCACTTTTTGCACATAATTACATTATTTATTCCTGACCTTACGAACTTTAAATATAGTGAATTATAAACTTAACTTAGGCTAGTAGGTAGATTAGCAAAGTGAGCTTATTTTAGCAAATTAATTACTTATATTGTATTAATGATAATTAATTTTTAGTAAGAGTAATTCTACAATTCCTGTTGGATGAACACTTTCGAGCATTTTAATATAATTAGTTTAGACAGTGTCTTATAGAACAATAAATTCTATCAATATTTGATAGATGAATCTGAAAAACTTTTTTAACTTCTAGATGATCTTCCTCTAACGGCTGCATTGTCTCTTCCGCTTTTCGCGCTACTCCGTCAGAAGCTCGAACGACATTTGAACCAAGTACTCCGACAAGCGACCAGCGTGTCTGACCTCATGACTTGCAACCCTAGCATGATGGAGGCTTACAGGTTAGTAGAAAAAACGAGGATAAATAACGTATAGGCAGTTCATCTTCTTTGGTCAGACGATATATATTTGGAATTTTTATATTGGTTGTCTATATTTTCTCGCGAGATATGTAATTATTGTTCACTTAGGCAGTAACAATACAGAAATCATTGTATAGGATTAATTTAGCCAGAAGCAAGAGCAAATTTTTTTGTGGGTGTTATCTTTTATTAGAGTATTGTATGAAATAGATATTTATTTTGTCTTAAGAGAAAACAGACAGATGTAATTGTATGTTATAACAGAAATAAAAGTAATATGAGAATATGATAAAGCTCTTCTGAAAATTTTATTCATGAGGCAATTTCATAGAAATTTATGCTTCCATTCAAGATTATACCCATTTCATTTCGCTTTTCTTTCAAATGAAGATTTCTTAATTTTTAATATGAATGCATGATATACGTTAAGTTTTTTTGGAGCCTTGAAGATCAGTTAAAAAAAATAAATTTAATAGGAAAAAGTCTCATCGTTAATATGTATATTTTCCAGTTCAATGGTCGATCAATTGGCGCTGAACGGAAACAGAGTGGTGGATCTTGTTTTGATCAATATGAGACGAACGCTCTTACAGACTTGCGCCGAAGTTCTTGAACTACCCTCGCTACACGCAACGTTTATGCACAAGGTATATGAATTTAATTATAACCTGTTTCAATATTTAAATTACGCTTAATATGATATTGCTTGAAATTGAAAGAATATCATAATATATTCAGTGGACATTATTCAAAATGATATTAAATAAACGGTATAGTTTTTGAAGTATGCACTATTTTAGTTATCAACAGTCATACACACCAATTTTAAAAAGTTATATCCCTACTAATATTATAAATGCCAAAGTAACTCTGTCTGTCTGTCACGCTTTCACGCCTAAACCACTGAACTGATTTTAATAAAATTTGGTACAGACATAGATTTAACCTTGAGAAAGAACATAGAATACTATTTATCCCAAAATTTTGAAAGGTTCTCTTGGAAACGCGATATAACCGAACTCCACGCGGGCGAAGCTGCGGGCGGAAAGCTCGTCTTATATAATTTGATAGTAAAAGTCAGTATATGAAAAAATCTAATTTAGTAAAGTTTTTACTATAGTTTATATGTTTTTGCCAAATCATGATATTTCAAGTGTTGTAATTCTCATAGATTTACTTCATTTAGATAGGTTCATCGTCTTTTATCGGCAAGTTTGATTCTGATACTGGCTGGATGAAGAATTTAGCGACCATCAACAGAATCAATGACGTCAGCATAACAAGACCAGACCAGCTTAAAACGAGCTTCCATGTCACACTGAGGATTAAAGATTTGCAGGTCAATAACATTTTTTATAATATAGTTTTATAGTATAGTATACATTTTACTCTAATTGGAATCATAATGAAAATAATTGATTTAAAGTTAGAGGTATAAAACATAGATTTAATAATTTAACAAGATATATGAAACTTCCGATCTTTACACAAAAAAATTTTTGAAAGACTTATTTAGACACCATAAGCAATAAATTTTTATGAAAATATGAATAATTAGTTTTTATCAAAGATTTTAAAGTGTTTCGTTCTGCAAAAAAGATTAAAATAATTAAATATACAACGTGTAACGTAATTAACGCACACCCTCAAATACCCCAATGCGAATATAATGATATAAACGCAATGCATACATACACCAAATATTATTTATATGTACGTTTGCATTTTTTATTTGTGAAATTAGTTATCCCAATTTCGTGCAAATAATATGGTCAGCTATTCAGCGACACTCTGTACTCGCCGCGCCCGCGCCCCTCTCTCCGAGTGCCGTCCGACAATAATAAGAAGTAGGTAATAATAAGTACACGAAATAACTACATTATGATTTATGATTCTTCTTTCCATCACACTTTTCAAGCTTTAGATTGTTGACATTGAATTTTCTTTTTAATGTGAAGCCAATATTTTATAATTACTGATTTGTTAAATTAAATTTGTAAATAAGAATTATTAAACAGCTGATAACGCGTGATTTGATTAGACACCACAATACCTACGACAAAGTTAAACACAGTCGGCCTGTTTAAATGGTGTGTATCAAAATATTTACAATAATTTAAAGATCATAAACAAACTTACAGTTTAATTTGCACTCGCACGGCGTTGTCATTTTAAAACATTTTCAAAATGTCCACGGCCTTGTTCAATGCACTTTAATGACCGTTTTCGCAATTGTGGTTTTATTTTAGATTATACTGCAATGTCACTTTTCACTTTTACAAAGGCGGTTATTATCTTATTTTCTACTTCCTTGGCACTTGTTATCTCTGTATTATAACTAGCGATTTAATTCGCCCCCACAAAAAAAAGTCGAGTCGCGTCAAATCAGCTGATCCAGGAGGTCAATGGACACGTGCGTAGGTATTTGATGTATTGAATGTTAGTGTACGGAAACGACACAGCGAAATGCGCGACTACGATTTTATTTGCACTTTACACTTGACCTCTTTTCGATAAAGTGGACGCGGCGTGACTAACTTACCCAAAACACATTTTGTTGACTTCGATGTTTAGTTATTATTACTCTGATTCCCGGAATTAGTCTGCCGTCTCGCTCTATTGTAATGTTATTAAGCCGAAGAAAGAAGGAGAAAGTAATAATTTTTGTATTACGCGGCTTTCTTTTATGCACTGTAGTGACCTTGCTGTGTGCCGGTTGTCGCTATGGTGTTGCGTGCGTAGTTATTTTTAAATACTATTTTAACCTTGAAATAAGTATCAGTTTTTTTTAATTGAATGATGATTACTAATTAAATATTTCATTTTAAAAATCTTAATACCCTGACTTACGATCCATTTTCGTTTCCATTAATTTTCGTTTCTATGAAGTGTTTAGATAACTGTGTGTAGGGTGACTATAATTTACTTAGTTCTATCTAAATTTGAGAAAAAAAATGACCTACATAAAAAACTATCAAAATCGATCCAGTATCCGATTCTGATCAAACTACTTTCAGGGTGTGCGTTAATTATGTTACACGTTGTATATATATATTACAGATCGGCTATGACGAGTACCGTGTGAGGGGCGCGGGGGGGAATGTCGGAGTGGGGGGGAGGGTAGCGGCTGCTCTCACTAACAACAGGGTCCACCTCGCGATCACAGTAGGACTCACGAGGTGGGAACCATACGCACAGCTCGACGACCTACGGGTACACTGTATGGAGTGAGTCTAATAGAAAATCTTACTAATATTATAATTGCGAAAGTTTGTGAGTGTATGTTTGTTACTTCGTCACGCCCAACTGAACCGTTTTGATAAAATTTTGTATACAGGAAGCTGACGTCCAGGAATAACACATAGGCTACTTTAAATCCACGGATAACACCGCGGGCTGCAGCTAGTAGGAAATAATAATAACTTGAAGTTCAGCTTAGAATGAATTGAGGTCAGTGTTGCCCAAATGCAAGAACGAGAGGAGACTTAGCAATTCTTGGTCTTGCATCAACACATCTGGTCTTGGTATTGCACTCAAAATCTTGCAAAAATGCAAGAACAAAATGATGACGGATTTTGGGCGACACTAATCCATGTGTTAAGTTTCGGAAGATCTTAAAAGAAACTCACTCCTTTAAAAACCAGTTAAATCGAATTCTCATATATCGTTTCAATTACACTATGTTCATTTAAACAAAACTAAACGTAAATCAAAACTAAACGTAATCTAATACAGCATAACTATCAGCCATCAGGTATTATTTTCTTTCTATTGATTCCAATACCTTAGATTAGTTTGAGAGTAAATCCTTGATGTATAATTGAGTATTAATTCTTCTCTGTAATATGTTAACCAGTGGTATGGATCTACATATCAGCGGTCTTGGTCCACTAAGTGTGCTTGCTGGTTCCGTACGTTCTTGGTTGCGAGGTGCGATCAGTTCACACGCGGCACCGGCACTAGCGGCACAACTGCAGCACGAATTACGAGCGGCACTCGCTGAACTACGCCTGTGGGAGGTGCTGCACGCTAAACACTAGCTGTATACAAAACATCAGCTATGACGTCACCGCTGTGACGTCACAAACGACGGTAGAATACGAGAGTCATTCGCTTCAATAATCTGATATCATAGAAGAATATAATATAGGAAATATGTCAGCGCAACACAATAAGCTCATTAACAACATTTAGTGGTGACGTCATAAGAGCAACGTTAGCAATATTTACAACTAACAAACTTGTAAAATACCACCTCCATATCAAATGGTATACTCTAACTAAAGAAGGGCCCAAGTGTGACGTCAGAACTAAACTGAAACATAGAGCATACTAAAATTAATGAAGTCAAAATAATGTTCAATTGTGACTAAATTCCAATATTTAAAAACTTTTTTACTAATTGATGTTACAATAATGTAATACTTGTCAATAATTACTGGTTATTTAAAGACTGAGTAAACATCACGTTATACATTTTACTGTAATTACTATTTAAATTCTATCATTTGATTTCTCTTATCTATTCTATTTTAAATTAAAATATTCGTTTAATTTATAAAAATAAGCATTTATGTGTGTCAGATGTCCAAAATTAATGATTTCAATTCAACAGATTTTGTTAAACAGCAAAATATGCTACACTTTAAATTGCTTTTGTAAAAAATACTTTTTATTTATCTTATTTTTTTCGTACGTTATATACTGTTTTACTTCTTAATCTATGAAAAATATTTTTTCTGTAATTTCTGAAATTGATATTACTTGATAAATGTAATGCCTTGTGTTTTATGATGTTAAATTTGCATTTGCCTGTTATTTAATATAAGTGAAAGTATTTGTTACCCTAGAAATAATATTATTAATTAGACACAATAAATTAATTGGTATTAATGACAGCAATATTTTTTTTACTTTTAACGTTATCAGAGCAAAATGTAAATTGGTTGTGCCTTGAGACTATTTTGTATTTGTTTTACTGTTTTTTGTAATTATTGATTTGTTTAATAAAAATCATGGTTGCTGTTACAATTTTTGTTTCCTTTTTTTGCCAAATTAGAAATCTTTCATACAAGTTCTGTTCACGTGTTGAAATACTATTCTATTTAATGAAATAAGTCTAAAAGTATTTTAGAATTATTGTGATCTGCTTTAAGGAGTAACGATAGCAAGATTCATATGATTTTATTTTTTGGCAAAGGCTCAAAGGATTTGCAACATAAGTAAAAAACATAACAGACATATAGTACATTTGAATTCAACACCACTCACCATAGCCTTAAGAAACTTTTTGAGAAAAAAGTATTCTACATCTTTGATGTGCCTGAAGATTAGAAAGCAATGATGAAGTAGAACATCCCAAAGTTAGTCCACGTCGCTAATTGACATTCACAATATAAGTGTTTGCTAGAAAATAGTTAATCCGTAACTGTAGACTTGATTTTCAAAAAATAGAGGATCTTTCGGCTTTCCACCTCTAGTAAATGAAGATCGAATGACATTAATACATACCTATAACCTATCTACTGAATAAAAAAATTTTGGATGCTCACACAAATTCCGAAACGCCATATATTACCGGTAATTTTAAATCAGACATAAAATTCTGTGTCAAGCTTTTTCTGACACATTTTCTGACACCGTCATTGATTTAGGTATATAATTACTTATTTTATGATCAATCTGAACGTAATAAATTGAATACCGAGATATATTAGCGGAAACATTTTTTCCAATGAATATACATAAAAGATATTAATACAAATATGGGTTTAATACAGTCAGTATTTTGTTCGATGATCTTTTGTGTCGAAAGGTAAGTTAAAGGAAAAGAAGCGTTCACTACATTTCAGTATTTTATCTTTGTTAGACACAAATATACTTTTCTTTAGGGTCTTAACCTGGGCATGTTGCGCGTTCGTATTAATGTTGCTCATGTTCACTATTATCATACTGATGGTATATGGTATATCAGTGGGATACCATTATGCTCAGAAAGAACTAGCCTCGTTCGCAAGTAAGTAAATGCTAGAATATTACTCCATTATTGGTAATGCAAATGCTTGCAGATAGTACATAACTACCTAAGTATTAGATATTAGATAGGTGTCTAATGAGTTGTTATTTTAGTGTCATCAAGGTCAACTACGGAAGAGCCGATTGTAAGACGTTCAGGTCAAGATAGTAGGCCTGTGGTCCGACTGGTCGCCGTAAACCGATCCGAAGTAGAACACGCTCCAGAACCTATCCTCGGTAAGAATTGAGTAGACTTTAATTTCCAACATAATTCCATATATGTATATACAAACACATTCTTATTTTTCATACTATTTAAAAAATTCTAGAAGTTTACCAAACTAGAAGCCCAGGGGAAAAGGTATTTTTGGAAGCAACGGAAACTCCAGTCGTGTTTTTGGAGACTGAAAGGTAACATACATTTATAGAATTTTATTTTTTGAGTATATTTACGATAGTTGATGTATAATAATATATTTACGATAGTAGATGTATAATAGTTACTATAACTTTTTTTTGCTCTTTTAGACCTCCGAAGGAGCCTGAGCTTTCACCACATGAAAGAGATTTAGCACGAAGATTAATTGGTAGATTTAGACGATCTAGAAATACAACAACGACAAAATATATCCCATTTTTAAGACCTCTTAATAGCACGGAACCACCCATACCTCTGATCGGAAAGTGATTTAAAGAAATTTTACTTACTAACTTTATGAAAATTGTACGTTGGTTAATTCGATTACTTACTTATGGGCATTTTGTCCTCGACGATTGACTTATAATCAGTTTAAAGAGGAATTATGAAGAATCTTGTCGGAAATGATAATTTTATCATATATCTATTGTATATTTATACATATATATTTTTTGATGTGTTTTTAAAAACTATACATTTTAAAAATAAAATTCTTGAATATAAAACAGTCTTTATTCTGTTTAGACGTACATAAATACATTAATAACACCAACAAAACAATACAATTACAAAATTGGGTATATATTTAAAAATGATTGGCACTAGTGATGTTCGCAGTGCTGTTAAAGTTGATAGTGTTGTTACTATCCGGATTGAGGATTTCTCTTCTCGAAATGCGATGCGCGAATCCACGTTTAACAGCCTTGTCTACTGAGCGCATTACCTGGGGTGGCCCGGAACGGCCCGGCCCAGAACCCGTTCGTAAAGCACCAGCAGCTTCCGCGGCCTTTGCTGTTGTAAAATACAATCTTGTTTCACATTTAAGAGACAAATTTCATAAACAACTTACCCATTAATAAAAAACATTTCATTGGCTATGCGAAAAAATGAGATCACTTTTTTAGCGAAAAAAAACTGTTATACAATGAAAATACAACAAAGAAAATATTTACGTAAAAAACTAAACGAAAATAAGAATTCAATCTGTAATTACGAATAAGTGACGATTAATAATGTCTGTGTATAGAACATTCAATTTACCCATGGCTTCAACAGAATTTTGGACAAAACAATAATGGTAGCCGATTCCTATTCCTAGAACCATCACAGTTATGATCGTTATCATCAAACAACATGTCAGCATCGCACATACAGTGCATAACGATACTCTGGAAAATAATCATCAATATAATATAAACTTCTTAAAATTTGATCAATTAATAACAGCTTTACACGTACCTTTCTAATGCATCTAGGACAATCGATACAAATGAACTTAACGAACAACAGACACAACCCATTTTCAGATGTTAACATTTTCCGATCATAACAGAAAATTTTAAACAATCTGATCTACATTGAAAGTCGTTCAAACTTTCTTAACATATCTTATACTAAAGATTGTCGAGACAAAATTTTATTATATCATTCTATGAAAATAATCACAAAATTTTCAGTGTCAAATGTGTCAATTTTAAAATTCTAGGTATCAAGCATTTCATTGAGAATATTTAGGTGATATTCTGTCATAGGTACAATATGTATTTCTAAACGTTATTCTTTTTATTGATGGCTTGATCCCACATCTATTATTTAATAAACTTTCTGCACCAGTGCGTTCTTTTTGTTAAAATTTAAAAAACTGGCGTAAGAAACGTAGATAACGTGCCGAGCTGTTTTTCTGTAGCCTGAACCATGTTCGTGCCGCATTCAGCAAACAAAGTTTTTTAAAGAATCATCTTGAGAGGCTCTTGATCTGTTGTAGATTCTTAATTATATTTGTACCATCTACTTTCAGTAAAGTTTATTAATTGGTAATGATTTTATGTTCTTAAACAACTGAATTACGATAAGAAAATATGAGCGGCTTTAAATATATGGGGCCACCATATGCCATGAAACTCTTTTTATATGGCTACTAAATTTATTCTTCTTTAAGCTATAACTAATCAAAATCAGTATGAAATTAAGAATACACTATGATTAAACTCTATGGTTTCAAAAGAACAAAATTATTTTGTACCTTTATTAAACTTATTTGTATGTAAAATCTTACTATGTATATTAAATGAAAGAGCACGCAAATGAAATGTGGTAGAGGCTAGAGGGGTTAGGATTGGCTGTAACCAAGTAACTACAGCTCGACCGGGGAAGGACCACCTTCTCATAGAAGATCGGCATGAACAAGTTAGTTCTTAATAGCTGCATTTCATCCAATGAGTGAAAGAGCCGTTTGACCTTTCCTTTTACCCAAACATTCATCTCCCGGGATGTTGAAGTGTGCAAGTGACCTTTTGTCGTGCATCAGCCTAAGTTTATTTTGAGTTGTTAAGCGTGGTTCATTGACATGAAGTTTACGGAGACCCTGCAACTGCGGGTCCGTACGCCGTGATGCACAAAATTCGTCACTCAGTACAGATCAAGGGCCATGTTTTTGATAGAATTGTTTTTGGACTATCAGCATCCTTCCATCTGTGCTTTCACATCAAAGCATCCGCTCGACCATTTTGTAGATGACCATGGGTTACGGTTAGCTACTTTCCATGAAGTAGCCGCCATAAAAAAATTAAAAATATGCCATTTGAGCCATCACACTAATAATCACTGCTCATGGACGTCAATTTAGTAGTATTAAATAAATTACGATACTAAGAGACTTAAAAAGTATAAATCATACTGGTTAAACTTTAACTGTTTTCATATTTAATCGCTTCGATTACTTTCTTTCATAAACACGTATAAAGTGTAAGCTGTAGAATTTATAAAAGTTACTATGTAGGTGTATATTAATTTTGCATAAATCATGTACACGTAACCCTTCCAATGATTTTATTTAAAAATATGGAAATCTAGTGTAAGAACTACAATCCTTAAAGTATCCACTACAATCTAATATGGTAACATAAACACTGATTTTCATTTACATATTTTCTAAAACTGCATATATGATATTCTGTTAAAAATTCTAAATATTTATCTGTGCAATTGTTTTGGCAAGTCTGAAGTCGTGGTGTCAAAATAATGGCAGATGAAAACAATCAGAAAAAGAAACAGGATAATAAAAATCCTAAACGTACCCCTAATAAAAAGTTTTCAATTAAAAAGCGATTACCAGTTCGACCTGTCGAAGGCAACAATGTCATATTTGTGACAAAAAAGACTAATTTTAAGGTAACCACAATTTCAGACCACCATACGCTTTTCAAAATATGAAATGGTTAAAAAAGAAAATGTGGCAACCTTATAATTATTATATATATTTTTAATAGGCCCAACTAGATAAATGCTGCGATCTGCTTACAAAAGGTGAAAAGGAAATTATACTACACGGCTTAGGTGCCGCTATACAAAGATGTTGTAATTTGGCACTACAACTTGAAATATTGTTTTCTGGGACTTGCCAAATAGAAGTTAATACCGGTACGGTTGATCTGATTGGTAAGTTATATTTCTACAAACATTAATTAAAAACAATTTCAATTAAAGTAGAAATTATTAGTTTTTTCGTATTTTCACAGACGATCTGGAACCTCTGACAGATGATGTAGAGTTCGGAGCTCAAGTCAGACACTCGTCTTCAATACATATTAGGATATTCAGAACTGCAATGCTTGGTGCAAACCAGTAACAATGTTTTTTACATTAAGTGAAATAGTGCAGTGGATAGGACTCACGGTTTTCGAAATATGGATAAATTTGATCACAATAACAATATTTTCAGCTCTTTTAGCTCTTAAAATCGATGGCTTAGTAAACAGTGCCTGGTGGACAATATTTGCCCCATTATTTGTAAGTGATGCAATGAATGCTTATTTTTGTTGTATAGTTTGTATAAGGATGACGTTAGCGACCTCCTACAAAGCTTCCATTTACAGAGCATCTTGGAGTTATATATTTTTAGGTTTAACATTTGTATTTAAATTTTTATTGTGTAGAAAACTACAAGGTGACTCAGCCATAGAATATAGTGAAGTATTTGCACCACTGTTTATATTGTTACAACTTATAGCTGTAAGAGCATGTCAGTTACATCAATAAAACAATAATTATTAATAATTATTTTTTAATGAATCTAAGCATTTATTATAGTCATTGAAATGAAACAAATTTTCTCCAAATTAGATTGCAAACGAAATAAGAGACGAAGTAATGAAAAAGAATATCTAATTAAACATATTGAAAAATCCACCCCTATTTTTCTTTTCAGTGTTACCAAATGAAAAATTGAAATTATTAGTATTGGGTAACTTATTATTGGTGTCTGATTTATTCTCAGAAGAATTTCCAAAAAATGAAAACCCGACTTTCTTAAATCCTGCAAATATAAGATTACATTAATAAAGAAAATTTGATTTTAACTTGCTATTGTTTCATACCTGATAAGAAGTTTGGAACTTCCTGCGAAAGGGCTACAGTATTATTATCAATATTCTCTGGCATTTTGGTATCGGCCTTTGGTGACAAAAGTAAGCTGGAATCTAAACAAAAACATATAGAAAATTAAAAAACAAGACTTTTATTACAACCTTTTTGATTGAAAATGTCTAATCACCAAAGCAATGAGGAAATTCGTTGTCTACATCCTCAACACAAGTGGAAGCCATTGAAACATTCAATGAATCTGGTATACCTTTTGCACCATGTGTGAATAAAAAACCAGCGACAGTTTGTTCCTGTTTACTCTAAAATATATAGTAATGTTTAGGTTATTATAAATTTAAGTATAAATGTTAATTTATAGATATTATTACCACTACATCATCACTAGCGCCCATTTCCACTTCAGAATTCATATTCTGACATACATCCTTTATTTGAGGTGGGTTATCGGACATATTATTTTCATCACAAAACTGTGGTTTTGTATCAGATATCTGAAATTAATATTAAGTATATATGTTAAATGTATATTAACTCTTAATAGGGGTTATTTTGCTTCTACATACTTTTGGATTTTTTGTATATATAAATTCAGGTGACAAGGCTATGTTGTGTTTCTTGAAGATATTTTCTTTTATTTTCTGGTAACTATTGTCACTGGCGACACTTGTGTTAAGTTCAGCATTCATATTTTCGTCAACAATATCTTCCTGTGACTTATTAATATTGTCAACTTCTTGAACGGACACAACAGTACTGAATGATACTCTTTTTTCTTGAGAGTTCTAAAAAAATTGTAAGATAAATGGAATAGCATACACATTTTACTACTAATAAGTTGAGATGACAAATAAATTTAGGTATAATTTATAAGGAAGCTATAAAATGGTAGTTAATAAAAAAAACCTGAGAGAAGTCTAGAAATTGTGTAGGAGGTATTATGATGTTAGAATCCTTATTTGTTAAGTCGGTTTCTTCAATAACCTCTGTTACAGCCTCTTCATCAACCTATAAATTATATTGATAATTAAGAAAATTTTAATGCAAGCAACTAATACCATGGCCTCTACAAACCTTTTCTACCAATTGATTACTTTTATTTGTATCAATACTTGCTGGGATGGCATCAACAATGCGTAATTCATTTGGATTTAACTTTGAAAATATATTATAAGAATCTTTCTTATGCAATTGAATATCTTCTATAATGTGAATCAACTTCCTATCTGTATAATTGATCGTCTGAGGTTTATCTTTTTCTACCTCATTTATATCATTGAAATTTTTAAAATATGATGACACATATATATTATTAATATCTTCTTGTTCATGCTTATTTGGATGTTTTTCAATTTGTATTGTAATAGAATCAGATCTTTTAATCAACATACTATCAGCCTTCTTGACCTGTTAGTAAGCAATTATTTTAATATTGTAATATTTTGCAAAATGTATGAACAAAATTTTTAAATACCTGTTCCAATTTATCCATAAGCATATCTAAATCAGTATTCTGAAGCTGCAGCTTTGGTAACTAAATATAAAACATAAAACTAAGTTATATTTGGTTTAAAATAAAATTAATAAATGAATTGAATTGTAAATTATATTCACCAACCAGCATTGCATCTTCATTATTATCATCTGAATGGTTCTTTTCAACTAAAATAGTTTCAGTCTTGGTTATTGCTTCTAAAACTTTAGCATAATTTGTGTTTGGAAAATTGAAATTTCGCTCATTCTGAAGGTCTTTTATTTCATTCATTAAATTATTTACTTCTTCTGTCTTCTCTGTGAGAGAGCGTAAGACTTCTGGTCGTTCCTCAACCATGTATCTTGCAATACATACGACATTTTGTCTGTCGATATTTGCTAATTCCTTCTTTCTTTCCTCAAACACTCTCAACAAATGTTGTATTTCATTATCAAGGTAAACTACAGTATCCTCAAGATTCTTCCTTCTATTAATGGTGAGCTGTTGTTTCTTAATAAATGGTATATTGTCATATTTCTTTTTGGACGTGAGCCAAAGTTCTTCATATTTCTTAATTCCGTTATTGACTCTTTCTATCAAATCAATTTTATCTTCCTTAATCAGCAGTAGCTCTTTTTCTAACTCAATATTTGAGGATTTTATTGTTTCAAGAGCACTACGTAAGCTAAAAGGTAATTTACACATGTAGTTATCAAAATTATACCTATACATACTAAAACTTTATACCTTTTTATTTCTTGCTCCCCAAGTCTTATTTCTTTTTCCAATTTCAAATTGCCGTTACTTATAAAATTACATATTTGTCTAGTTTGTTCAGATTGCCTGCGTAGTTTTTGAACTAAAAACTCTTGAGCTACGAATATTAGAAATAAGTTATGTTAATATACTTGCTCACAAAAATTTCAAGTAATGTTAACTCACCCTTAATACACTGATTTGTTAGTATTATTTTAAATTGAGATTCATCTACTTCGGAAGATATTTTCTCCAAAGCCTGGACATCGTTTGATTCATTCATAATGATCAGTTAAATTGTAACAAAAATACCGATAATATATTTTATTTTAAAAGTAAAAGATTGAAATGCGTTGCTTTTCATTAAACGTTTAAAATGGTAAAGAAAATGGCGGGAATTTTTTTAAGAGGCAAAGGTATAATCCAATACTGTACAATTGGCCTTTAATAAAAATATTTTTTTACATATTTTAAGCACATATTAAAAGTTTTTGGTTAAAATAAATAAAAGTCCACTTTACGGTAAAAATACTTTTTATTACATTAAGATAGTACTAATTAAAATGAAACAAAGAAAATTTAATACCTAAAATTTATTAACAAAATAAGTGTCATACAGTTATTTAAAATAACAGACATAAATGATAATTTACAATACACCCTAGCAACCTAATTAAACCAGGTACTTTTTATAAAGTTATCCCACATTAATTAAAAAAAAAGTAAAAAACAAACATCGAATGCAGCACGAAGGAATGTTGGCTAACTCTAAGGTCAAAAACATTCATTAATTCGCGCACCTATTAAATGTTTACACTGTGCCATAGACAAAATCGAACAATCTTTTTAACCTGTTCCTACTATCATACGGTTTTATTTTGACATTACGCGCCAAAATATCTACTTGGAGTAGATTTAAGCACGTCAAATAGATAATAGGAACATGATAAATAAATCTAGTCTGTTAATTTAAGGCGACGCACACATTACACATTGTCCATTATATTTGTGAACGACGATATTTGCACCTTTCTTGTCATTATATCACTATACTGTACACTTGTGTCATTTTCACTCAGCCTGTCGACGGTAATAGTACCATGTCACCAATCAAATCAAAACAATACAAACATGACCTGACACACAAATCTTAATAATACTGATTGTTTTAACATTACTATAGTTTCATTTTATACGTAGATGACACTTTAATATACAAATTTAGTAACTGATAACATTCATATTTTTAAAATATATTTAATATACATATTTGACTGCTCGTCAACGTGGTACACATATTAATTGGCTAATATTTCGAGTGATCTCAAAACAATTGGTCACAATACAACAATATATCTACTATAATCACTTTGGTATCTTTACTGGGCTTACAACAGATTCGTGGAATTTATACATTAGTTAAAAGACGAACAATACATGAATCTAAATGCAGATATTTTTTTTTCTCGAGTGTAGTTTTATTTATAACAATTACTACTTTACGTAAAGCAGTAAACATTATCACCTAGGCAATATCGGGGAATGTCTACATAATTTTTGAAAAATAAATAAATTTTCAGAGTCAAATATCAATACGTTACGTAAAAAATAAAACGATCTAATTAAACAGTGTGACAACTTAGAAATAATACTCATATACTTTAGATAAACTACTGGGTCCCTTTAAAATTTAAATATTTTTGTTTATTTTTATTAATGATAAAAGTGAAAATTTTTGTACCGCCAACATTCACTAAGTGCAAACTACCGCTAAGCGGTTACTCGGAAAGGAGGGAGGGGCAAGCGAGTCTTACGTCCTAGGGGCGGCGGGCGAAGCGAAAATACCCTGGTTTCGTCCACACGACGCCGACAGCCGATGGATCCGACCGGACCACTCGACGGAGCGTCATCAGTCGAACGGTTTGAACAGAATGGGACAGCATCCTCCGACCGGCGGAGGTCGCGGCCGGTCTCATTAACTGTAGGGCTGCGGGTGGAGGATCTCCGTCAGGAGGCGCTTCAGCGAGTCTATGCCGGTGAGGAAGCCGCAGTCGGGCCCGTGGTGGGGCGTCGCCGTGGCCAGCGGAGACTCGGCCGCCGCGCCCGCGAACGCTGTGTGCGCGAAGTCTATCATGCGGATGTCGACGCGCTCGTCGGGCGGCGGGGCGTGCGGGCTGGGGCCGGGGGACGGCGTGGGAGAGGGACGAGTGCGCGGTCGCTTGCCGCTCGCTTCCGGTTCCGCTTCCCGTTCGTGTTCGACCTCGTGTCTCCAGGATTCACTGCTGGTGGAGGAGTACGCCATCCAGCTGTCTGCTGAGTCGGGGCTGGGCGGGTGTGCGTGCGGTCTTCCTCTGCCGGTCGCCGTGGTTCCACTCACCTCCCCCTCTTCGTAGCCTCCCATTGTTTCTTCTGAATGCGGTACGAACGGCTCACGGCCGTCGTTGGAAATTTCGTCATGAAGTGTAGACATGTCAAAGTGTCCGGGAGAGGGAGCTGACTCCGAAGAACCGGACGCGTCGCCCTCGTATTCCGAAGATGCACAGCCGACGGCCTCCTCTGGCACTTCTATTGGGGTGGACACATCTCCCTCGTACACTATCAGTAAGGAACTGAAAAAAAAATAGATTAAAATTAGATAAAGGACAAAATAATTATATTAATTTTCTTAATCGGCTTTGAGAAAATAATTGTCATGAAACACAAATCACAGGTCCTACATTTTCTAACGAATAATGAGCATATAGGAATAATGTTTATACAGGGTGACTGGTGAATTACTATCAATATTTAAGGAGTATACTCGGTACATGATTCTCATTCGAATTATGTAAAAAAAATAGGTACTTAATTTTTTACCAAATTTCCGTATAAATAAATAAAGCGTGGGCACGTTCCAAGTGTTCCAAGTGTGGACGCGTGCTGATACAACACTACGCCGCCACACGCGTATGTGTGAGTGTGTGTGTATACCTAATCTGTAGGGTGTTCGCACGATGCGTAATTAATTACATAACTTTTGGTTAACTTTACTTAGAAGTTTATTAATATTTATGTTATATTAATTTTTATCTTGTCATATATGATCGTCAAATATCACGTCCTAAAGTATTGATAGTAATTCACCAGTCACCCTGTATAATAGGAATAAAAAACTTTTATAAATAAACTTTTAACTGAATCAACACTTAGCTAAAAATGTAATTGCCTTTATTTTAAAACTTATAAATGGTGTATGTTTTGTAAGTTGTCCTTATATAAATAAATAAATAAAATGTTTCACATGTAGGACTATAACTGACCACGAGTAGAAGCGGTAGCTGGTCTGTTTGGCGATGGCCCGCCGTAGAGCATCTAGGTCTCTCAGTACTCTGCGGACGACGGTCGCCCGGAGCCCTCCCCCTCCCCCCGCCGCGAAGAAATCCCGAAGAGCCTCACGCAGACCACCCTCGGACAGAGCCCGACCCCAGTACTTATCCCTCCTGACGCATGCGCCTGTTTCATCCACATACACCTGCATCAAACAAAACTAATTAGAAATCTTTACTAACTACAAAAAATTTGCACAAAAAAAATATTTTAATCTGAACTGTTATAGAAAATTTTCGACCAAAACTTTTAAAACAAAAAAGACTATAATACTAGCATGATATACATAGTTCCCGCAAAGCAAATGGATGATTAATTAATTATACAGGGTGACTGGTGAATTACTATCGATACTTGAGGACGTGATATTTGACGATCATATATGACAAAATAAAAATTAATATAACATAAATTTTAATAAACTGCTAAGTAAAGTTAACCAAAAGTTATGTAATTTATTAAGCATCCTGTGAACACCCTACAGATTAGGTATACACACACACACACAGACGCGTGAGGCGGCGTAGTGTTGTATCAGCACGCCGCCGTACGCGTCCACACTTGGAACACTTGGACCGTGTCTACACCTTATTTATTTATACGGAAATTTGGTCAAAAATTAAGTACCTATTTTTTTTACATAATTCTAATGAGAATCATGTACCGAGTATGCTCCTTAAATATTGATAGTAATTCACCAGTCACCCTGTATATGATCTATATATAGTTTAGTACCTGCATGCCACAGAGTCTGACCCCCAGCGTGGCGGAGGTGGAGGCGGCGCACTTTGCTATTTGTTTGGTTCTCTTCTCAGCGCTGGCGTCGTCTCCATGTTGTCTGGTGCCCATCTTCAGATCGAGCACGCACGGCTTCCGATATGAAGAAGTTATGTTCTCCATCATGAGGAAGTCTGGAAAGATATGGAATTCTCACGTGATATTATGCCTAAAATGTGTACATACTAATTTACTATGTCTTGACGTTAAGAGCTAAAGCAGATGCGTGAGAACAAAATTTTAGAAATCTATCTTTCTACTGGGTGGGTCACCAGTAACAGTTAAAAGGAAATTTGGGGATAAATGAAGCTTAGTAATCACTAACTTTGTGGGTATTTCTAAAGCCACTGAAGGAATGCATTGTTATCCAATTCTGTCATAGAACTTTAGTGCCATTGAAACACATTTCATCCTGACTAAAAAACGATAGTTTCTGGAAATATTAATAATATTTGAATGATACTGACATTGCTTATTCGAATTGTCCATGTGCGCTATGCTCTTCAACACCTCGGAGGCGTTCCCGTTCCGGTGCACTTTGAATCTGTAATAGAGAAGGGACTATAAAACATCCGCTTGTGGACCGGCCGCGTCGACATTACCGAGCTAATGAAACACAGAGATGGCGGTATCTGTTATTTTTTTTGTCTTATACTGTTACATTGCAATCAAACTTGTATCATTACCACGACTCCACGTCGGCTCGCCGTGTGAATGGGTCGTGCATCGCTCACGCTTTACTGGGATAGTTATGTAAGTATTGCGATGATATGATTTAAATGGCGACGTCGGGTGCCGGTCCGTAGTTAGTGGCTACGTCATAGTTTCTGAAATATGATAAAGGACACATGACAAGTGTCGAGGAGTGTACGGCACGAGCGAGCGAGCGATGATACGCACTTGAAAACGTCGTCGCGCTTGCGCTTCCCGCCCAGGGACTGCTTGCGGCCGTTCTCGTCGCGGAAACACGGCGAGTAGCGCTTGTCCAGCTTGGTGCCGCCGGTGTGCGACGCCTGCATCACGCCTGCAACAAACGGCCGACACATCACTACCCCTGACTACTCACGCTACCTGACAGACTTCGTGATCTATATGAAGAGTTCTCATAGACATTCACCACTTTCTAATTTACATTACATGAAACGCGATCGGTCTGAACTTTACTGACGAGGGTATTCTGTTCTGAACGTGAATGATACTATCTACAATGTTATATATTGTATATCAAAGTTGGTACTATTGTGCAAGTTGCCAGCTTTTACTTATGCAGTGGAGATATATAGTATACGTAATTTCAAAAAGGGTTTGTATATCTTTGTCGTGTGCGTGTGTGTTTATGATAAATAATCTTTGTTTATTTGTGTGTAGTTGTAGTGTGTGTATGCTGTGTGTTTGTGTGTGAGTCTGTGTGTGTGTATGTGCTGTGGATGTAGGTTTAAGGTAAAGGTTTACAAACCCATAATAAAATTACCGCTAGGGGCGCTATTAGAGGCGGTTGTGTGGTCAGCCGCCGGCGTCGCTCCGCTCGCCGCCGTTCCGCAACCCTTGCGACAACAAGGAAACTAATATTGTGTTCCTGACCCCCGACCACCTCACCCCAGAACCCCCAAACCCCCAAAACCCCTCTCTCTCGCTTCGCCCTCAAACCCGCCATCCGCCCGCGAGCTATATGCCCTAATATACTAGAAACTAAACTAATTTTATGTAGTCATGTTCCCACATAATTTGCACAATAATTTGTTTATTTGAATTAGTATTATTAAGAACTTACGATGTTTGCCTTATTGTATACCTACCTCTATAATCAGTGGACTAATTTCAAAATCGTTTTAAGAAAATCTAAACAGCATATATTCACTATAGCATCTGTTAATTTTCGTCGTTACATTATGAAACGTCAAAACACACGGAAGATCTGTTTTTCCGTGAGTTTTTTTCGTACATTTCTTCATTACTGGCAACATTTATATGTTCGACCTAATCCAATTTCCTTTTCATTAGTTACGTGATTGCGGTCGGCGGGTTTGTATACAATGCGGGCTCTATTTTTCTCTCTATCTCTCTCTCTTGACACCACTCAAAAGAATCATTCGGTCCCGATCGTCTAGTACCACTGAGCAGTAAGGAGAGTTAACCCAAAATAACATTTCATCACGTAATCCGGTCTTAACGCTTCGATACATTATCGACTGCGTGTATAGCATCATGGACGCGCCATAAGTCATATATATGTATAAATAAAAATAATATACGGATACAAAATAATATATAACATTCATATAACAATAAAACAGCGTCATATATGAAAAGGGTAACAGAACGATAACTTCCTTAGTGCTCGGAAAAAATGTATTAAAAAAAAAATAAACAAAAATCGATGATATCAAACTATACATCCAATGAATGTTACATTTAAAAAAAAAACGATGAAAAATGATAATGATGCATACAGCGATATAATAAAAGCAAGCAAAACCGCCTGACAGGAAATATTTAGAAACTCACCTTTGTATCTTGGTACGAAGTTCTGTATATCCTCAGGAATGTTCTGGTAAAAATGCAGTTCACGTATGTTCAGAGGCTTGATGACCGTACTGTCGTTTAGCACCAACAGACGCGTATGCCCGCCCACCTGGAACAACAATTATTATTATTTAAAAAAACCCTCCAGAGTTCATTGACCTTACATCGCCCGCAGTGAAGGAAACAAATATACAAGCGATAAAGTAATTCTTAATATCACAGATAACATTGGATTGTCCGTATTATATTTAAAACTTAATCCATCTGCATAGATATGAAAAAATATATATAAACTAGCTTTCCGCCCGCAGCTTCGCCGCGTGGAGTTCGGTTATATCGCGTTTCCAAGAGAACCTTTCAAAAGTCTGGGATAAAAACTATCCTATGTTCTTTCTCAAGGTCAACTCTATCTCTGTACCGAATTTCATTAAAATCAGTTCAGTGGTTTAGGCGTGAAAGCGTAGCAGACAGACAGACAGACAGACAGACAGACAGACAGACAGACAGAGTTACTTTCGCATTTATAATATTAGTAGGGATTTACAGCTTTAAATATAGAATAATTCTCCTTCATACTAGCGTAATAAATGTTTTGATTCACTTTGGGCAAATCGAGAGTCTCACAAATAGGTTGTTTTGATGTTTGATTCAATAACAGACGTAGGACGCGGAAATACCGGCCTGTTCAAAAATAACACGACACAGAACGTTTACGGTAAATAAAATTTGAGAATAATCGTAGTAAATTTTTAGTATTTAATAGAAAAAAATCATAAGTCATTTTAATTTTTGAAACGTCGTGAATTTAAATTAAGGTCTCACCAAAAAACTGTTGAATCCTTTTGAAATACGTCTTTTTTAAGCGCTGAATATTTAAATACGATATTCTTCATCTTATAATTTTTTCCACTGCCATGTAACATTACAATAACATAAGAATTTTAATAACAATATAATATATTATATACAATAAACCTTGCACTGAAAACACAAAACATTTAACCGATAACGACAAATTAACGAAGCAATTTATTAAGAACAATTTTTATTCCACGACTAATTAGGTTAATAAAAGTAGATTTTTGATTAAAGTTCAATGAAAAATTGTGTTTTTATATCATCAATAAAAGGTTTCACTAATTAAGTTTATATTATTTTGTAACAAAATTAATTTATTTAAATAGAAAAGAATTAATCTATTTATTGATGCTTTAAATTGAGTATAAAAATTACGATTAACCAACGGTGACGGCAATGAAACAAATTATTTTTTGTTTGGGAGTGTTCTTATATTTTTCAATGTCATTATTTTTAGTTATCAATATGTATGTATTTTATTTAAGCATTTAATACATTTGTATTTTTCTAAATATATATTGAATATCAATCATATACCACAGATCTAGATATATTAATTAATTATAAATAAGATTTTTCGTACACATTCTCTTTAAAATAAAATATTATTTTCAGATATACAATAAGCAGATTAACTGACAGATACTTTCATCTCACGTGACCGTGATCATGGCTGCTGTATTAAAATCGAAACTTCGAGTAAAACAGAAAGAAATATATAGAAAAAAAATCATTGTATATAATCATAAGAAAATCATACTTTTATCTACTTTATTAATCACGATTTGAGCCGAAGAATAACTCTTCTCTTAATACGTGTAAGAGTATCTTAACAATACAAAATAACAGACCATCGAAAACACGACCGGTTATATAGAAAATTTTGCAAAATGAAAACAAAATATTAAGCTCAGGTACTTAAGAAAACAATGGACCCGTCGACAGAAATACAAAAGAACTAAGAACTTGACATTTAAAAAGACTCGCGAGATATATATAAAAGAAAAATAAAAGGACAAACGATGACAAGAATTGGTATAAAGAGCATTCATTGCTATAAGAATTGAATTAAAATTTTGTTATCAATAATTTTGGTTACACAAATGTCAATTACGAATTCGTGAAAGGCTTAGATTTTTAAGACTACAATCGGCTGGCAAGTCTTTGTGATCTATCAACTATTTAAATGCTACACGAAAAAGGTGTATTGGAACTTTGATTTGCGAAATATATACATAGATAACGAGATCCAAGAATTTCGCGAATACTCATCATCATCATCATCATCAGCCTATCAGAGCCCACTGCTGAGCAAAGGCCTCTTTCTCACATGGAGAAGTTTTGAGCATTAATCACCACGCTTGCTCAAGACGGGTTGGTGATGTCAAACTCCTTTAAATGAAACTAATATTTTCGGATTTACTACGCTATTTTTTATTTTCGATTATAAACTAGATACTCCCGACGTTTCGGTTACTTTACAGTAACCGTGATCACGGGCAGATGAGATGTGCTTATAGTCAAAAATAAAAAATCGCGAAATAAATCCGAAAATATTAGTTTCATTTATACATAAATAGATTATATTCATATTCTAACGGCGGAAACATTTTCAAATTAATAACTAAATAAGAAGAAGCATATATTCAACCCCCTCATTATCGTAACTATAAAAGTTTTAAGTTAACAAAGAATTTTATTTTATATAATATATTCTTTTAACATACAATATTATGAGCTGTTCAATATGTATGGCGGAATCGTTATAATCTGTAATCTAGCTGGAATTTTCCATGACTTTATATATAGTACTAATACTCATGGAAAATTGGAACATAAACGGATATACAATCCGAAATTTGTCACGAGAAATTATAAGAGGATATTAAACGAGATACAACCACGCAAGAAATTGTGCCAAATAACTTGTCCGCTAGTAATTATTTAAACGTATATTAGAAAACGCAAGTGTTACAATTCCAACACTCACGTTCATACATGAAATATATAAATTTGAATTTCAAATTAATATTAACAGTCATTAACAATTTATATGACATTCTTATAATTAATTGTCGTATAGTAAAATAACGTATATAGAAACAAATAAAAACTTCAATCAAAAAAAAGTTCTTATATATCTATAGTTCAACTTATTTAACTATTAATATATAATCTAATATATTATAACAACACTATAAGCATCAAGATAAGATAGACCTATTAAATATCTTTCTTAGAACATAATCTTTAGAGTACATTATAAATATTTTGAGGACCTTGAAGTATTAAAATACAATTTTCTGTTCATCAATAATAACATAGCCAACGGGTTAAAAATTACCGCCCGTCATTATATTTGAACAGCTGCCAGTTAATTATAAGTGTTAATAAACGTTTAATATTAAATCATTATAACTACATAAGCTTGACAAGCAATGAATATAGTACGTAATACCTATTTCTAAAACGCAATTCCTCTCTTAATATTCCTATCGTATCATGTATCCACGACACTGTATTTCTATCTGTATTTCTACATACAAATACAACGTCATTACAAAATGCAATCGCTAACAAAGCAATAACAAAGTTCTAAGCAGCGAACAAAGGAAATAACTAACTGGAATTACTTTAACATCACAAGAGCGATCATTGAAAGTATATTTCCTTGACATACCGAGTTAATGAAGCTGTACGGATAATGCTTGTACGTACTTTAGACATTTGAAAGCTAGTCATTCAGATGTTTTATGAAATATTTTGATTGATATGATGAAACGAAACAACATAGGTACAAATTCTAAGCTTTTCGATTTGAAAGAAACGTCTGGAATTCTAATATGGAAAGTGAAAATCTTTAAATTTATACTAAAATTTTACAATTGTAAACAAGTGAAAGAAGTATTAATAAACATATTACAATTTTAGGACATCAAAACCCGCACCAAAAGTGTGTGAAAAATTTCATATACATAATTAATATAACACTTTGTTAAATTTATTTTCATCGAATTTACCTCCCCAGTGTATATTACCTATACAAAAACGTCCAGACTATATTTAGCTCGCAAAATCAATACAGACATAAATAGAGTTAGACCATCTGGAAGTGGACGCGATGAAAATTTAATATGAATATACAAGCTCGATTCGTTTTAACATATTATACACGTTTATTTGAATTTGCTTCACGTGAACCGTATAGGTAAATTTTTCCACGAGCTCTCAATAAATTTTATGATTGCACACTCACATAATGTATGCGATGTACAGACTTAATATCTACGTACTCAGAAATGTTATATTTAAAATTGATTTTTCATATTAATCATTTTGATAACTGTATACATGACATACAAGGGCTTGGACTTGTGCTGTTCAGTCACTATTTTTATTATATTGGAGACGACCTTTTGTATTTGACTAATCCATCTAAAGTATTCGACAAAAAAGAATTAAAGATTTGTCTACCTATATTTTGAACTATTTTAAAATATAATATTACATTCTTTTCTTTGAAATCGCAACAAAAACTATCAGTTAATACGAGAATACAAGCAATATATGAAGTTTTTTACCGATTCAAGTCCATACAGAAGCACAAGTTGAAATTACGTAACGACTTCATTGTGCAATCAATTTATGTTACAAAATATAATCAAAGGCACCGTTGTTTTGGAAGTTTGCGTATTATTTAACTCACTTATCCATTTCATAGACAAAGTTCTATTAATACAAATAAATAATAAACTAGCAATAAAGTTATTATGCTATGATAGGAAGACTATGACCAAATTAATGACAAACAAACCAATGTTCAGTCAACTTGGACTAATTGTTATTAAACTTACCGTCCAATATTTATGGTTAACGCAGGACATATGTTTAGTCCAATGAAAATGCTCAAACTTGTGACGATATGGGCAATATTTGTGATTCGTTGAAAAAGATCGAATCACGTGGAAAAAGACGATGATGTGGCCAGAGTTATTAACGAAAACTAGACAAATGAATCGCCATATATAGTAGGTGTAATATTCGCCGGCAGGGCGAGGCAAGCACTCGTAATATAGTGGCCCTGTCTAGGTGGCGTGGAAGAGGAACACCCAGGGGTTTTAGTGGGTCTAAACCCCACATAACCCGGGTATCTGTGAACAGATTTCGCCTGGGAAAAAAAAATGTAGGTCTAATATTCACCTGATTGTGTAGAGGCAGTACATCCACCTCGTGGCCTTCATCAGGAGAAAGCGTATGCGCCGGCTGGGCCCGCTTTCGTTCAGCCCCTCGCCGTTCCGGCTCCCCCATGCCCCAGCCGAGAGAGTACACCATTACTTCGGCCGAGCCACCGCCGCCACTGTCCACCTTTAACAAACAAATACTCTTAGAATAATACTAGCAGCAACAATTTTCAACTATCATATTAGGAAAACTACTCGTGCAAATACACTTGGCTTCAAGAATCCTTTAAACATTATAATCTCAGACGATTAAGGCAAAAATAAATTGACGTCCTGAAATTTTTATACAACATTATGTGGTTAGAACCCAAATGATCCGAATGTAGGAAGATATAATAATAAAACACCTTTGCTCAAAGACCACCTTCGGTCTCCGGGCGATTGTCCAACCGCGCCCTACCGTAACAGACAAACACAATCAGATATTAGACAACTGATAAATCACCGGCCATGCCGTATCTCGAAACGGCGGTATAAATCTTCTGGACGGGATGACGTCACACGACTTGAGATTAAAACGATAAAAAAACAACTCGACTAATAAAGCTATGGTCATCGGTTTTTTATCGCTGCTATAAAACAAGTAATTAAAGTGACATCATCAAAATAAATAGCGTGTTAACATAACAGATATGACATAACTTGCAAGCGCTGATTTAAAAATCTTTAATCATTTTACTGTACAAATAACAAGACCGAATGAAAGATAATACATTCATATCTCGTCTGCCTGTGATCACGGTTGCTGGAAAGTATCTTAAACTTCGGGAGTATGTAGTTTTTAAAATAATAAAAAAAAACAAAAATTATTAGTTTCATTTAAATGAACTGTACATTATGAAAATCGAGTTTCACTTTATTTACAATATTTTTTTTTATCTGCTATAAAACACGCCAGCTACAACGTCCATAGTATTATTCCATAAAGAATACAATGATTTTTACTGTTTCAATAACCGGTTTCAATAAAGTTGGCCTGTGGCAGCCGGTTTTTGTCGCCGTGTGTCGTCTACCACGAGTCTGGTTAATGCAGTTATTGAGCATGTCCAAAATTCATTCAACACCATCAACCATACAACCAAATCCCTACTAATATTATACTATAACTCTGTCTGTCTGTAACGCTTTCACGCCTAAACCACTGAACTAATTTTAATTAAATTTGGTACAGATATAGAATTGACCTTGATAAAGAACATAGAATAGTTTTTATCACAGACTTTTGAATAGTTCTCTTGGAAACGCGACATAACCGAACTCCAGGTCGGCGAAGTTGAAGAATAATCCTAATTACTAATACGTTTCTAGAGTGTTGCGTATTTCTTTCTACGCATTGCATTCCCAAAGCCCGATACATCTTGTACTTTGTAACAAAACAATTCATCTGTTATCAATATAATTCCAGCTTGTTTGTCTGTACATACATACTGTACCGGCGCCAATCATATTTATCAATTTAGTACAAGATGATTGCATTTAAATCAATAATTATAACGTGTGACAGTTGACTAATAACACACATTGCTGTTACTATCGTACGAAAGAAAAGGGATATGACGTCATCAAAAAACTATAATTTAAAAAAAATCTAAAGAGTTTTTATATGGTAGAAATAATAAATATTTACTGGCTGTTAGATGCGAGGACACGATGAGGAAAACGTTTTAAAAATCAATCTGATGCAAGGGCTGCGCGCGCTTTCGTCGTTAATTCAATATGGCAACCTTATGGATGCTATCAAATATACATACATGTATATACAGGAACATACATATATACAGCGTGTTTAGATTTGGTCCAGAGTCAGAGTTATAAATTGGGTGATCAGTTTTCAACTGTATATCAAGTATGTAGTAGCAACATATATAACTGTATAGAAAATATATTTTCCGTAAGCTTTTATTCATGTATAATTAAAAATTGAAGGCTCTATCTACAAAACTGTTTACTTAGTTTCAGAAATCAAATAGAAGAAAAACACGAATTGATGCAAAATTATACACATTTTTGTATTTAAAAATAGGTATCAAAACAAAGAATATGAAACAGATATTACAAGAAAAAATAAAAGCTATAGTCGAGCCGTATATCCGAGTCAACAAACCCGTCAAAGCTCAGCCGGTATACAAAGTACAAGGTAAAAGATTCTTCTCAGGAGTTGTGTTCGTGTGCCAGGTCAGGGAACTACAACGCCTGGTTGGTGACCCATGAAACAGAAAGATACTCTACAATCTACATACACGCATGACTACTAATGTATTAACATAGTATATATCATCTATTCAACATGGATTTATTCAAGCAATGTCAGGATACAAAGAAAACTGGTTATAAATATGAAATTCAACCAAACACATCACAATCCTTACTAATATTATAAATGAGAAAGTAACTCTGTCTGTCTGTCTATTACTCTTTCACGCCTAAACCGCTGAACTGATTTTAATGAAATTTGGTACAGAGATAGAGTTGACCTTGAAGAAGAACATAGGATAGTTTTTATCCCAGACTTTTGAAAGGTTCTCTTGGAAACGCGATATAACCGAACTCCACGCGGGCGAAGCTGCGGGCGGAAAGCTAATTTTTAAATAAAAGTACATCAATCACACTCATATAATATAGTTAAAACGTGCAGTGAAAGCGACTCGTATACACAAGGAAGAGAAATCCAACGCCAGAGACGTAGAAACAAAATAAGCACACGACTATGTAAACAAGAGACAAAAATACAGACAGAACTATATTTAAATGTCTATAATGAGAGCAAGTACAATACGGTTATTGAAATAAATAGTTATTGACGCTACCCGCATAACATCGAGTATTGATGACGTATATACGGACGCTTATATTACGTAGGCCACTGGCAATATCCGAACGGAGAGCGGCGTCACCAAATTAGAACCGAACCCAGCATCCGAGCAAAAGATTTATTTACGTGACGCGAGGCCCCGCCCCTAAACTCTCACGATGCTAGCTCTCAAACCAAAAAACACCACGCGATCTGACGTCACGAAACTGTGAATTAAGAATAGACTATAATATGAATTATCACTGCCAATAACAATATTATTAAAAGCAACTTACAAGGTTACTGTGGTTTAAAAAAACAACGACGTCTGTTCCAAATTCATAATATTTACAAAAAATATTACAATACTTCGCATGTTTTTAACAAAGATTTGATGTAAAGAAACTATCAAAAATAAAATAAAAAATCCAAGATTTGACGATATTCAAGTAATTTTATATATGTACAACCTCTTTCAAAACATACTGTTACTAAAAAAATAAGAACGAGTTATTTATATCGAATTAAACGTAAAAAAGATAAGCAGCTTTCACAAACATCTTGAAAAATTCCACAATAAAGTATTATACGGTTTGCAAATATTTAACAATATTTATTTATACTACAACTCATTCCCCTACTAGATAAAATCATATCAAAAAACATAATATTTATATTAAATAATAATTTTAATGAAAGAACTCGAATATTATCATCAACTTGACCGGTTTTATCCTGAATTTGTTTCAACTCTGTTATCAGTAACAGCAAAACGTAACATTTTATTGATCACTAGTTTTTGCCCGCGACTTCGTCCGCGTTAGTTTGGTCAAGAGTAATATATGTAGGTGTAGCTAACCAGGCGAACTCTATTCCGTCTTAGAGGCCATAAATAATCAGGTTTTTCCTGTTTCAATCAAACAGAATGATTGACATATTAGTTAGTTGTCAAATCTAATGTCAAAAAAAACGTTTGCATGGGAAATAGAAAAGGGCTGTTTTTAGGGTTTGCCCGGCAATTATTCCAATTTTTCTCACCTTTTATACCTTCCCTGAACCTCCACGAACATTTCAAGACTAAGATAAGATAAATCCGTTCAGCTGTTCTCGAGTTTTAGCGAGACTAAGGAACAGCAATCCATTTTTATATATATAGAAGAAGAAGATTTCAAAGTCATTAATATGATGTTGGCCTAATTTTGTCAAAAAAAATACTTTTCATCGCAAAAAATGATACCAAAATTTAAAAATACATAATGAATTTTTATAAGGGATACTTTATTTTTGTGAATAAATTCGTTCCTTAATCTATGTGGATACAATAAGCCACTAAAGCCTATATATTTCAAAACACATCGAAACAATTTTAGGAATAAAGTCGTATAAATTACTTGAATTTATTATTGTTTAAGGACTTTTCTCTAATTTTGATAAATCTATACCAATTTCTCAATTAAAAACTATATGAAAAACTATAAACGCAAAGTTATCGTAGCTTCACACTCTCATATTACTGGTAGATTTATCATGATTACATAATAACATATAATATTAAAATAAAAATAAACGTTTTCTAATAAACCCCAAAAAGTTCATTGCACTCTCAAACGGTAAACCTTAATTGAATTAATGTACTTAAATTTATCACCTTCAAGACGTGAAAAGAAAACTTCAATACTGAATAACATCGAAATGAATTATTGTGAATCTATATAATTTACTTTAGTATATATTTCTTAAATTATTAGTTACGGTATCTTAGAATGACTGTAAGAAAATAAATGTACTTGATTGTTTAGTTAAATATATTGAATATAACACAAGTATATAACAAACACTTAACAGTGGACAAACAGATATCGAGGCGGTACAATAAATAAACATAGTACAATGATAATGAAACAAAGGAATCATTTAATGATAAGTCGTATAAGTACTTATATATAAGTATATATACATAAAGATACCAATATATATACTATATATATTATATTCCAAGTCAGTGGTGGCCTAGTGGTTAAAAGGCCGGCCTCTCATGCACGAGGACGCGGGTTCAATCCTGGCAAGTACCAATGTGATTTTTCCAAATCACATGTACTTTCTAAGAGTATTTAGACGTCACTGATTAATGCATTCCCAAAGAGGGTTATTGTCAGGCAGACGGCTGGTCATAAAAACAATTAGCCAAAACTATTCACGACATGTAAGGCAGACCCTGGCTAAAGCTGGGAAATTGCCAGGAAGAAGAAGAAGCTATTATATTCTATAATACTAAAAGGAATAATATTAATTTATTAAAGTAAAAAAATCTTTTTATACAATGATATCATTACGTGCCATCGTAACACACG